CATTGCTGTTTTTGTATTTTTTCTCAGAAATGAAATATTTGCCCGCGGTAAAAAGTATCCTATATGTTGACCTGGATAACCAGCTATCACCATACCAAATTTCATCAAAATCCCTCCAGTGGTTTTTCTGGGATGCGGTAACAGACAAACAGACAGACAAAAATCCTAAAAACTATATATTCGGCCTCTGTATCGATAATAATGTCTATTTCAATAAGATTTTCCAAACAATATTTAGTTTGATTCGGCTTAGTCACAATTTTATTATATGTATAGATAAAATGTAGAACATACCTCATATAAAAGTTTGGTTTCGTCATGTAATTTGCCTTTGTAATATTAAAACAAGCACCATAACTTTGTTATGAGATTTTCACTGGAGTTATAGTAAACTTACACCCTCGGGTATAAACTTGGCAGACAATAGACAATCTGCGCGCACGCACAAACTTTCAGCGCTAAAGGCCCTTTGTTCCAAACAAAATGGCACTCTTAGTCATACAACACTACACTGTTGCTTATCCCTTGGGGTAGAACACTATCTAAAAGGATATTTTCTCTTAGAATTTAGCTTTTAGCACCTCTCAACTGGAAAAATACTTTCTTATTATGAAACAAATAAATAATGAATAGATTCTGCAACGTAAGCTATTTTCTATAGTAACTTAGTTGAGTCTTGCAAAATCCAAGAACATAAAATGATATCGACAGTGTAATCGCATTCGCTTATAAGTTACAGCTCAGGGCCGCCGCTAAAGGCAATTTCACTAGGCTTCTTATCTCCTGCCCTAGTACTTCTACGCGTGACGCGAGGTTATTTACGCGCGTGCCGCCCCTAAGCCCCTATTTATTCTCAGAAATGTATCTGAAAATTAGGGATCACATCCAACCGGGATTCGGGGTTAATTTGCAGTATTCCCGCCGCGAAAACGTGGATGACGATAAAATAAGAACAATGTTGATACGTCACGTGATTCCGTGATTACGTTCAAATATTTCCGCTTTGTTTCACGTAGATAATAGGTTATTTAGACGATAAACGTAGGTATCGCAGTCTCACAAAGAAACAGTTTCCCCTATTACTTTGGAGGTAAGGTGGGAAAAATATATATTTCATTTTTGCGTTCGCCCGAATTAATATCAGGTTGACGTTACATTTCGCTATGGAGCTTTAACGATATACATACCTTGTCTTATGAAAAAAATATGTATCTAATATATATGTATTCGTTATGGCCTAAAATTGCTCATATTCCTGTTAGACATCAGCATTCAACAAATATGTGATAGCGAAATATGTCAAATAAAACCGTAAAAATATTGGAAGCATCCTAAGAACTGGGTGTATTTCGTAACTCATTCGTTATAGTTTATATCATTACCTATAAGTAAGGTCATAAAAAACTCCACCGGTTCGACATACCCAGAGGGCAGCCCGGAACTTATTTTATACGACGCTGGAGTTGCCCAGGGAGTTTTTAGCGTATTAGGTTCGCCGGTTTCTCGAATAACCGTAAAAAAGGCTTACATTTTTACACTCTTTAGGTCAAAACCTGGTAAAATAAATGTCTATTTGTGTTATTTTATACAAAACGAGTATTATTGTACTGTATTTTACCTATTTTGCTAATTTATAACAATAAATGTTTATTTAATAAAATCATCCACAGTCGGCCCTATCAGTACGAGTATATAAACTTCTATTTACTTTATAAAACCAATATTTCAAACCTTTCGCGGTATTACGAGCTGCGAGTTATTGCAAACTCTTAGAACGCGTTCTGACAATATTAATAGGTATCCCCACGAAAGTTAAAAAATTATAAATAAAGGTCGTTAAGAAGTAAATTTCTGTCGCACCGTTGTTTTAAATATGTGCCGTCTGTAACGAGAGCGGTGCAATTAGCATTCTTTTAAAAATAATGAGTCTTGCTCTGATCCAGGAAATTTCTCTAGATCTCTCATTATTTTTGCTCGTTTACAGCAATAACAAAAAGAAGGTTTTAATGTTTATGAAATAAATATGCTTCAATAATTTTGTGGCTTAAATAGCTAAATTATTATTTTTATTTACCGTAAAAATACCATTCAATTCAATCACAAGAAGAAAAAAATACAGCGATATTATGTTTGACGTTTTGTACGAATAGACACCTTTTCTATATGTATAAAAGATCCTTAAGCGTAAGTAAAATTGAAAGCCAACCTAAATACCAATCGTGATTTGTTACGACTGTTCTCTGCTTTTCCGAATATAATTTTATCAAACTTGGTTACTTCTAAGTCTTCCAATTTTTTTTGTTGTTTGTCGAATTTGCTGCTTTTCTCTTTGAACGTGCACGTGTTCCGCGAGTTTAGTCGAAAATAAGATAAAGTGAAGCTGCACTTTTGTCACACAAATGAACAAAATGTAGCGTATTGACAAAGCATTCAGGACTCTACTCGGAAAGAAATCTCCTTTACAATTATCCTGATATCAACCCGGCTCTTACAATAAGTCAAATCATTTTAAACGAACCGGATGTATACGTGATATAAAAACTACACTAGTAGGCGAAATATTTTTAAATTATTAAGAAATTAATTGGATTGGAAGCTTCTAGAACAATTTTATATATCCCTCAGACCTTTTTTTTTTTTTTAATTCCCTGTCCACTAATACTATTATTTTCAGTCAAATTATTTCACTAACTTGTTTATTTGATTCGGGGATGTCATATATTTGATAAATGTAACTAGGAGAATTTTTTTGGCGATCAACGTCATTGTCCCAAGAATTTGGCAGAAGTTCTCTAATTTTCATCACAAATTTTCGCTTCAGTAAAGGCAAAAGCAAGGAGTTTTTAACGAAACTAGCATCGTCATTACCAGCTTTTTGTTTCGCATTTGTAAATACCGTCTGTTAGGAATACCAGAGCGTTGTGACATCGCAAATTACTTTTGGGGGAAATTTTGCGCGTTCAGAGTCGTTACGACCGCGCTTGGTCGGCGGCCGGCCACAAACAAACCGACTACTAAAAGTTTCTGACAGAAAGTTGTTTGGTGAAATTCAACAGCGTCACTTTGCACTACACAATGGTATTCAAACATTTTCGACGATAAGCGGCTTGTTTTTAACTTTGTCTTGTTTAAAATGGGAAAAGGATGTCAGTAATATAATAGCTTGGAAAAATAAGCTCGCGGAAGTTTATTTCTTTGTTTTGCTTCTTCATGCATGCGTATATTGAAATCTAAAAATTACAGAACGGAGGCAACTTTTCTAATTATACTTAGCTATTTATGCAATAAACAACGGACAACAATCTAGCAGAAACTACTAACATAAACTTTTCTTAGAATGTAAAGGTATACGTTTGTAGACTTTTGTTTACATACTTTAATGATAAAGGCATAAATAAGCATTTTCATCTATAAGATGATCTTGCTGTTAAAAGTTAAAAAAAATATACGTAGACCTACTAATATTCGCACTTAATTTTTTTAGAATATATTTAAATAAAAAAAATGTTTTTTTTTAAATATATATAATAGTTTTTAAGATATATATGTTATGGGCCTCTGTGTACATATTTAAGATCTTTTCGTAGATATTGCCTGAAATAAATGATTAAATTAAAAAAAATAAAATAAAAAATAAACAAGGATCCGGTAATTGAGTTTAAAAGAATAAAATTACATAGAACAAAGTTTCCTTAGAAAGTAAAAATAAAAGCTAATGCTCCTTGGTTTGCTTAAACGTAATTACGTACTAGGTGAATGAAATTGTTATAAACCTACGCTCTAACTGCATAATCGCCGGCTTGCTGGGAACACAGCACATGGTAAGCATGTGGTAAATATAGGTAAAGGGTTTACCGTTTTGTTCCTGCGCTTTAAAAAGTAAAGCAGGCTATGTGGTTTCATCCTGAGTATTATTACTAAGGGAAATGTAATGGAAATGGAAAAATTACTAAGACAAATGTTGATTCCTTTCATACAATTTCCAAGAAAACTATAAAAAAGCAAAGAATATATTTTTATAACATATTCTTTGCATTCCTTTTATAATTTTCAATTATTTTCCGGGCATATTAGTTTCTTTATCTATGTCCTACTTTTCCTCGGAGACAATTTCTCGTTTCGAAGATACGAATAGCAAAATAATATTGAACAATTGGGTAATGCTAACTTTGTACTGTGTTTTATCTACGACATACGGTAGTATACAGTACCTATACATATATCTCTCAACTTATTTTTTGGAGCTTCTCGCGAAGATACGAAAATCTGTCCGTGTTATTTTGGAGTCTTTACAAAAGGTAAAACAATCTTTAGCTATCTTTTCTTACAGCGACTAGAACCTTTTTTCAAATTGAATACCGGTCATTGGCCTTCATTTACCAGAACGAGGTTTTTAAGTAAAGACCTGGCTAATGTTCGTCGATTTAAATTTTCTGAATGAAAATTAGTCTGAAGGCTAATTAATTAAAGTTTCCAAACAATGGGTTTTAAAATATAAAGGTAATATGTATGTAAATAATAAATACGTTTTAAATGTTATTCAAATTGCAGTCTGCCCCTTAATTAAGAATATTGGAGTGGCTACTTAAATGACAACTAGCATAAGAAAGTATTGAAGCTAACGATGACGATTTTTTTTTGCTTAGAGATAAATTATGAGTTGTAAAATAACATACTTAACTTTATCTTGATAAATCAAATAATTTCCTTATGTTATTAGTAGATATGTTACAAAAAGTTTAAATTAATAAGCAAAAATTTAAGTTTTAAAGAGATTGAGCCGATATTTAATTTCGCCAACCACATAAACAAATTATATATTTTTTTCTGAAAATTATACGTTTACAACGAATCCAAAGCAAGACACAAGTTGCTTTAAAGGCAAATTACATATGTGAAGCAGACATTGACAATTCAAACATGACAGGTGTAATTTATGTGATTGAAATTATCGAGTACACAGCACTGGTTAATGACGGTATTATGTTTTTTTTTTACAGATGGCGCCACTCCGTACCGCTAAAAGGATTGTCAGTTGCCTCACATACAATGCTTTTGTGGTAAGTAAATATTAAAACACCAATCTTCTTCGTCTTCTCCATTCTACATAACATTAGAAAAGTAATCTGTGCTTAACGACCACGCTTTGAAGCCAATTAACAAGACAATTGAATTTATATTTTGACTTAAAACAATATTTTGCCTATAATTCAAAATGGCGTATATATATATTATTATATAGTAATACCTATCTTAAAATAAATAATTAATAAGATTAAACTCCCACATAGAAATCTCATAAACATGGACCCAATTTGTACTGTATAATTAAATTCCGGAATCCGCAACCTGAATTTGTCTATTTACGCCGACAAATCACGCTAACAATTAACAGTTCCGATTAAACTGCATTCACGCAGGTACCGGATCTGCATAATGCCACTCATTTTACGTACGTTTGTCCCCGCCAAATGAAGCACGGAAATCCGCAGTTTTCCCGGCCAGCGTAACTTGGCCCCCATCTTCATGACCACATAAACGATATAAATACCATCGTTGCGTGGACGTCGGTTGTGCAAGCGGACGCAAATATTCGCAAAACGTACCGCCTGTAATAACGCGTGAAACTGTGGTCGTACGCTCCAATCGCTTTGTATTTCTCGATGAATGCGCACATATCGTTTAAAATCGATTTTATTTCCACGAACGACATTTAAAAAGCTGTAATGGATATCATATTCAAAAAAGTGAAAATCACACACTCATTTTTTTTTATTTTAACGTTAAAAATATATAAATTATTTTGTACCTATATTTAAAAATTGTTTAAAGTCAAAAGCTTTTTAGTGGAAATAAAACAGATATCGGAAACCATTTGTAAATGAAATTTACCACTCCTTTTACAAAATATAAAAATAAGAATTTAAAGTGATTTATGTATTTGCAATAGAGATGGGCCGAATGTGGATTAAACCGAATACGAACTTCGGGCGAACATTCGGTGAGAATAAAAAAAATCTGCCGAAATTATCATGAGTGAGAGATATACAAAAGACTTAATTTTATTTTACTGTTATGACCGATATGCTTTCTATTAATTTCAGTCAAAATAGTGCAAGTATTTTTCTTCTAGTGCCAAATGTTCGGCATTCAAACCAAATTTTGGCCGAATGCCGAAGTTCGGCTCAAATTGCCGAAATTCGATTAAACCGAATGTAAAACGAATTTCGGTCCATCCCTAATTTTAATCAATTAAAAAGTGATATTAATATTTAAATTGAAATACTTTTCGTCCTCGAATTTATGAAATTCATCTAAGAGAGATTTACTTATGATACAAAGATTCACTTATGATACCTACAAAAGAGCACTGTCACAAAAAAATCAAAGAACCTATAAGGCATAAATATTTCTTTATGTAAATAAACGTAGCCATTGAGTTGAAACGCTGTTATACCGTTAGTCCGGACGCCGGACCCCGCTTAATTTCCGAAATTTGTAATTCCACCGTCGCGTCTGTCTGTTCAGCGACCGTTTCTCGTACTTTTAATCAGTAAGCCACTGAATTTGCGCTAATTTGAATAACGACGTCTGAAAAAGGTTTAGGTAGCTACGTAGTAGATACATTTTCATATAGGAATGCTCTAATTTTTACATACACAGTTCAAAAGCTATATACGTGTAATACGTTTTTTATTGAAACAAAAAACCAAAGTAAACAGATATTTAATTAAACAGATATTTAATTATTTTATTTTTATATCACAAATTACTTTTTTAAACACAACTTATACACTTAAGTACAAATTACAAACCTGTAAAGAGAAACAACTTTAAGAGCTATTGCTTCAAATAATATTTTTTTTGTAATCTGAAATATAACTTAAGAAATATTTCATACGTATAAAATTTTCTTATAATAAACATTAAAATAAAACGAATCGCATTTTATATCACGCAATTAAAAATTGTTAATTATAAACAGCTCAAGCGTTCTATATAAATTTTCAATTAAAACTACTCATTAATAATTCTACTTGAAAATTTCTGTTTCATATTAAAATAACTGTTTTTAATTTCACTTATGATCTTGCCTTTGCACGCTCAACTTTTTTTGATCCAGACTCCGTGGGCACAATTATGTGATTTGCATAGCTATCACACCCTGCGGTATTTCACGTTACGCCATAAACGCCGACCGACTTTATTTTATGCCTTTTTTGCGGTGTACCCTATAAAAACGTGATTGCTCTCTCCTAGTATTATCATATAAATAAATAAACATGTTTTTTTTTATTAAATTACATTTAGAGACAAAATAAAATAATTCTCTGTAAGAAAATCATAATTTATAACCCATGAAATTTAATTTAACTAAATTACCATAAAAATATAACATTTATATACATATATCACCTCCAGGTAAATTTCTAAGAAATCTATTGTTAACTGTAACGCCGGCGTGTCCGCGGTCGTTGAGGGAATATTTCGTAATTGAATCCATCAAAAACTATAAAAACGAAACACACGATATATGCGAGATTCACCAACCATCGACGTTGCATTCATCCGATACAAACCTATACGATAGTTACACGATTTACCAAAAAAAACGGCGAAACATTTTCCAAAACAAGACAAAATCTGTGCACAACGCGTCGAATATAGCCGTTTATTGGATTTTAGCGGAAATTTCACCGGGACAACGCAAAACGAGCAGTGCTGTTTGCGAATGACCTGCATATCGAGTTTTGATTATGATTTGTACCGGGAAAGCCGGCCGGAACGTTGGACGCTACGACTCGGTAACTGTAACACATGCTTTAATACGCCATTGTTTTTTCACTATCTTGATTGTGTACTAAATTCTCTTCGTAGCTTCGACCGTCGCTTGTTCAATTTCTATAATGGAGAGTCACTACCGGTGTAAGCCAAAAAATGTTTGGTTTAGGTATTATTTAAATTTTATATTCTTATACTAGCGACTCACCCTGGCTTCGCTCGGGTTCGCCCCTAGCTTGCTTCCCCATACAAACTTTCATCCCCATTAAAGGATTATTTCCGGGGTAAAAACTATTTCACTCCCTCACTTTTCATATCATGAGATTAAAAAAAATTTTTTTACTAAAAAAGAAATTTTCTTTTAATTTTCTTCTATACAAAATTTGTCCTGACAATAACAAATACAAAAAAAAAAAGAATTATCCAATTCGGCGCAGTCGATCGAAAGTTGTGCGCGTACATACATTTCGGTGATTCATTTTTATTTATATAGATAGAAGATAGATATGTAGGTACGTGGTTTACCTTATTGTCTTTCTGTTTTCCCAAATACAATTTCATTTAAAATCTAATCCTTAACGAAGTTTCATTACGGACAACTAAATGTATTTGAAAACTAGAAATGAAATAAAATCCCGTCATGCATTTTAATGTTGTTTCATTCGACAAAGAGACTGTTGATGTTGCATCTAGGAGAAATCGCATCGTAACAGAATTAAACTACGCGAAACTCCGGCTGAATCACAGTCCCGCTCGGATCTCACTGCTAATTGTTGGAAAGGGGAAACGTAATAAAAGTGCTAGTCTTTGAAGCAAAGAAGCTGCCCCGGGCGCCTCGACGAAGCAAATTTTAATAAATTAAAACTGAGCAAAATTCCCATTTCAATATCATTCCGTTTTACTTTTTGCGACGAACCTCCCTCTTACATTGATTTCGTCTTATTTTATAACAGAGTGGCTATCAATTCACATAATATATTGCTCCTTCGCATCAAAAACATCGCCGCTTTGAGCTAACTCAAATGGGTGCATTTCAATTTTCAGTTAAAGTTTCTTTGGGAAATAACGATGAATGGTTTAATATTTTATCTTGGAATGTTTTTTAAATTCTAATGCTCGAATATGAAGTATAAAGTAATATGGGAAGTGATTTGATTAAACAAGCTTTCTTTACATTTATGCGATTATATTATTTATTATGAGCATCGGAAGTTTATAAATAATGGCTGGCTTTCAATTGAGTCTATTAGTTTCATTTATAACTATTTTTTTTTAAACAAAATCATCTTTGTGCTCATAGGAAGCCCTTTTAGGAGATCTATATGGATATTAAATTAATAAAGCGTATAAACAACTACTTACGATAGGTATTATAAGTCACTAACGACTCACCCTTCCCAGTCTCTCAAACTATCTTCTTACCAAATTTCATCTAAATCGGTCCAGTATTTTTTGAGTTTATTCGATACAAAGATACAAAAATACAAATCTTTCCTCTTTATAAATAGTAGTATAGATACTCAATCTTGAGAATGAAAATGTACATACAATTTTAAGTCATGCTCATCGCCAACTCCTCGCCATCCTTTCATGTTATTTCTTTACTTAATTGAATAATCTATTAAATATGCCTACATTATTTTATATTAAAATTATGACTAGAGAGTTAAGTACCTTAATGAAGCTAGGTCACGATAATGAAGGCTCAAAATATTTCCATAGAAAATATAAATTAGATTTCTGCTCATTTATATCGTTGTTTAAGGTAAAACATTCATAATTATTCTCAATCGACATATAAAATAACAAGATTTTGTTTTTTCTTTTCAGATTTTCCTTATATGTCTGGAGCTATTGGCGGGACGTGGAGCGTCTGCTCTCGCAAACTGCCCGGGTGGCTGCAGTTGCAATGACGACACTCTGGTCGTGGTGTGCGAAGAAAGCCGTCTCGACGTTCTTCCCATCGCCCTTAACCCCTCTATACAACGCCTCATCATACGCAACAACAAAATCAAAACAATCGACGCCTCTATGCAGTTCTACGCTGAACTCCAACACCTGGACTTATCACAAAATCATCTGGTCAACATACCAGAAAAAAGCTTCTCATATCAAAGAAAGCTACAAGAACTGCACCTAAATCACAATAAAATATCATCAGTCTCCAACATCACATTCCAAGGGCTAAATTCTTTAACTGTACTCAATTTAAAACGCAATTTCTTAGAAGAACTAACCAATGGGGTATTTTCTACGTTGCCAAGATTAGAGGAATTAAACTTAGGTCAGAATAGAATATCTAGAATAGAACCAAGAGCATTCGCTGGATTGTCAGCCTTAAGAATACTCTATTTAGACGATAATCAGTTAAGCTCAGTGCCTACTATATCGTTTAGTCTTTTAGGAAGTTTAGCCGAGTTACATGTAGGGTTAAATGCTTTCTCGTTTTTGCCTGATGATGCTTTCGCCGGTCTTAACCGACTGTCAGTGTTAGACTTAAATGGAGCTGGACTTTCAAATATAAGCGACAATGCATTTAGAGGTCTCCCAGGGTTAAGAAGCCTTAATCTATTTGGGAATCGATTAAGCATAGTGCCCACACAGCAATTATCCGGCTTAACTAGATTAGAAGAATTGTACATAGGTCAGAATGACTTCATCGTCTTAGAGAGTCATTCGTTTAAAGGTTTGAAGAATCTTAAATTAATAGATATAACCGGCGCGACTCAACTCGAGCGCGTTGAGAAAGGTGCTTTCGAAGATAATATCAACCTAGAGAGTATAGTTTTAATTAACAACAAGAAACTGTCAGTCATAGAAGATTGCACTCTATTAGGTTTACCAAAGTTACGACATGTGTCTCTGAGAGACAATGCTTTGATATCATTAAGCGAAAGCGTCTTCATTGGAAAGGAGTTGAAACAACTTGACTTAACTGATAATCCAATATTCTGTGATTGCCAGCTGCTCTGGCTCCAACAATTGCTAAACGATAAAAGCAACTTCACCCAAATTCAATGCGCGAGTCCAGAAAGTTTGAAAGATAAATACTTAAGAACTTTAAACGCCGACGACTTAGGTTGTGTGTTACACGACACGCGACAACAAACCATCATTGGCATCATCGTAGTCGCCTGCGTAGCCGCTGTCATGACCTGTGTTCTAATCATGTACAGATACCGTAAAAACATGCAAGAAAAGCTAAAAGATTACAAATGGCATAAAGGTCGCAAAAACCTAGAGTACCACAAACCAATATCCACTGAGGAGGATTGTATAGTGCGCGGCATCCACCCGTCGCACTACCCTACCCACGCGCCCGGCATCAGGCCAATACCAGTAACGGAACTGTAGCTAGAGCTTTACGCCTCGCCGAGCGTGTTCTTTATGTCGGGCCAGAACACAACGAGAAGGCCACAACGCTCGGGAGGCGGCGGCACGATGCCCGCTAACGGATTCACTTACATCGGCAACCACCAACCCCTAACCCTCAACAACGGAGCGCCGGCTCTTAATAACGGATCATTACGCTCGTTACCAGAAAAGAAGAACAATGCCATCTGCCATCCTGAGAACTTTCAACGGAATGAAACCCGTTACTCTAGAAAGCAAGAGAACGGGTACTTACGTTCGGAAACAGTGATAGGTTTCCCGCGGGATAGAGAGAGGGATAGGGAGAGGGAGTATGAGCGCAACGTCCCGGACTATAGTGAGCCCGAGTACTCTATAATCCCAGAGAGCGGTTACGAGGAGTTCCCGCGCTCGTGCAGCCACAACACCTTCAACTGTTGAGTGCAAGTGTAAAGTGAAGTGTAAAGCGACACAAACTCTTTCAACTTGTGATCTTGTAATTCTAGCAATAAATCTTCATTCCATTATAATTTTCTACGAACGATCGAGGGACGCGGCGAGTCCGGTGTACGTTCGACCAGTGGACTATCCTATTGTATTCGATTTAAGAGAGTACCTTATTTGTAAATTATAAATTAAGTAGTTATGGATCTATTTTTCAATGGGAAGTGGGTGTTGAAAGTTTGACTTTCAAAGGTTGGCTCGTATCATCGTACTTTATAAAAGTTAATAATTTTAGTGTCTCATTAGTCCGATTGTTGGTAAGTTGTGATATTTTATTAATCAAATATTATTGTATTGAGTTTCAAATCGATTAAATAGTTCATATCAATGACAGTTATCTGTTGGATATAAGAAGTCTTCGCAAACGATCGGACTCAGGACCGGATTAACCATAAGGCAGTGTAGGCAACTGCCTAGGGGCCCATGTCGGCTAGGGGCCCCACGCACCGAGAAAAATTTAAAAAGGTTTCAATTCATAAAATTCGGTGAAAATGGTGAAAATTCCAACATGAGGACAAATACAACAGTTAGATTTCTATTTAATAGAGTGAATATTGTAATAGCATTGTGGTATAAAAATGTATTTCAATAAGTTAGAAAAGGGTGAAGGGGCCCCAAAAATTACGTTGTCTATGAGCCCCCGGCATGAGTAATTCGGTCCTATTCGGACTATAACAATCATACAGTAACTATACATATATTAGCCTAACAACGAAACAACCATACTTCTATGATGATGCGACACGACCGATTCGTACAATGTACAGGCTAGTCCAGATAAGTTTTAACGAGGGAGGACATCGTGTGATTTGTAATTTTTTCTACCAGTGCGAGATTGTGTTGCCAGTTCAGTATAACAATTCCTATATTTAAAACAATTTGACACAATATTACAACAAAATATAATAAACCAATATTCATATATTTTATAATTTAAAAACGATTTTTTTAAATAGGAATTGTATGTAAAATAGCATGTCATACAGAAAGAAACAACTGGCAACACATTGGTGGAGTTTGTATTTGATTTTGTACAAAAACCATTCCATGTGAAATCTTTTTAATATCTTATTTTATTATTAGGTGACTAATTAAGCGTGCGTTAAATAAGACACCAATATATAAGAAGAAATATTAGTAATAACGAATGTAAATATATTTATATTAAAATGAGATATTTATAAAATTTATTACGATTTTGCTCTTCTAAAATTATCATCAAATTATTTCGATACCCGATATCGTTCACATTGTTTACGGACTGACATCCCACTTACGAACTATCACTAAAATATTTATAATATTAAATTCGTATTGTAGGTACGAAGCACTTTTCCAAATCTACACATCAAGTTTATGCTCAATTAAATGGTTTTTTCGTTTGAGTTTTAAGTGTTCCTTAAGAAATGAAAGAAAGCAATAAAATAAATATTTCGTTCAAGCAGTATTGGATTGAAATTAGAAAAATATTTAATGATAGGATTTTAAACTGTGAGCACTCAGTTTATATTTATATACCTTGTAGCTTTCACACTGTATAGACGATTACGAATGATTACTAAGATCGATATTCATTATATATTTGTACAAAAAAAAAGATTTCCTACACATGTAGTAATAAAATTAAATTCATTTGTAAATCCATAATAGTTGAAAAAAAAAATAGTATTATTCTTAATCGTCTACATCTGCTCACTTTAACATCTGTTATTTAAATTATGTCGATCTATTGATAATTACTATACAATAATAAATTTATAAAATCATAATCAATAAGGCTCACTTTATATAAAAAATTACATATTAAATTAATTATCCGAAATTAAAAGGCAACACTTACGTAAATGTCAAAAATTAATTTATGATGGAGAGCTGCAGAAATTAGTCCTATGGACGATATGAAATAAACGACAGACGGCGCTTCCATATCAAAAGACTAATGGTATAATTTTTAATGAATTGTTATATTTTAATCGATAATACGAAGTCTTTTAACTTGAAGTACCACTTTTGACCTAACCTCCTTTGCCTCTACTCTCCATTGTAAATTAAAAATAAATAAGTTACAAACTTTCCAAAATTGTTTTGCGCTTGGCTTTTATAAATAAAATTTTCAACTTAACTTTTAAAACAACGTTCAATTTAACTTAAAGTTTATTATATTTAATTTACCAACAAAAAGAAGTCATCAAGCCAAGTGTAAGATATTTTTGAGAACTTTTAACTTAAATACAAAGGCCCGTAATTCCTATTTCTTTTATCCCTTTATATTTTAATTTTCTTTGTAACTATGGAGAAATTAAAGACTAAAATGGCATATGTTTAGTGCCTAGTAAATGCCTAAAACGTATACAAAATGATGAATACATATGAATAATTGTGATTAGAGTTCTCACGTTATAGATCATCGGTCATTTCTGTACTTTATTGTAGTAATTACCTACATACAAACTTGATAAATATAACATACCTCAAATATACTGCATTTTATTTACCTCTTATACCTTTCTTAAAATTAAGTGAAAATTAAACAAAAAATGGAGTAGGTACCTAATAGGTGTCTACTTTTATTTAACTGGCAACCGCCACACCATCTTTAGATTTTTTATAATTTCACAAGCAATGAAATATATTTTTCATAAAATCCGCCACTCCTTTCCTTACAATATATAAAGTAGGTGGGAATATATCTAGATATTACTGATCAGTGAGCAGTTCGATTCAATTCGATACAAAAAAGCTCTTACAGCTTGCTTCAAATCATATAATTATATTTTAAAATAATACGTAATAAATTCCTTTGTTATCTGAAAGCAATAATAAACACTCATTTTTAAATAAAATTCGTTTTCACCGCCACGGGTGGAATGAATTTCATGAAATGCTTTTTGTGGTTGTCCACATACATCAAGAATACAACAAAATATTACACAAGGAATAAAACAATACATTCAAATAAGCCACGCAGGTCCAGAAAACGTTAATAAATGGGAAAGTTATAAAATAATTATTAAGACAGAACTGTGCTAATTACCAACCACATATCTAAATCAATGCGATAACTTAAATATATGATTTTTCAAACCTTTTTCTACACGATATTAAGGCGGAAACGCAATTGAATGAAAGTAGTTTTTTTTAATTGTAGGTACCTATATGTACCTTTTTTATAGATTTGTGGATTTTTCTCGAAAACCTCACCTCAACCTCTTGCTTCAGTTACATGTGCAAAAAATTTACTAACAGAAAGAAAATATTTAATATAGTTTATTATCCGCTGTAAAAACAAAATTTACCTTGACCAATTAGTATTCTCAGTAAATAAAAGTAGATTTTAGACTTATAATTATTAGTTGTGTGTAAAAATAAGGTCGATCCGATATTTTCAATTTTCACAATCATGTAAACTACATAACCGAATAACAAACTGTATCGGGGAAATTGTACCTCTACACGAGTTAAGACGATCAAATAATCTATATTTTAGCTATTATTGAAATACTATCAAATGATATGTAATTATAGCACTTAAATATGTTGCTCTCTATTAAAGAATTATTAGTATCAGATAACGGTTTAGTTCTTTCTAGAGTTTATTGATTACTGACAAACAAACAAATCTTTTCTCTTTATAATATTTGTATAGATAAATAATAAATCCAAAAATATATCCCCAATACACGCATAAAACAAGTCATTTTGTTTATTTCACGACATCTACTGGTTAATATTGAAACTAAGCCACTGGAAAACCGCCATCTTGAATTGACTTTAAAAGATAGAAAACCGACCACAGATGGCACATTACTTTATCATCTATGGAACAATAACTACGTTTTTCTTTGAATGTAAATTATTAATAGGTTGTAGGTATTTTATTAACTAATTTCCTTGTATCGTGTTGATTATATAAGCCTGGGAAGTATATTGGTGAAGTATTCTTAACTGGGTTTGAACCCTAATGGCAACAAACTGAATTAAATTTTGTTCATACTTATTAACTTTATGAGAATATTGTGTAATCAAATAGGCAATACTTGTTTTAAATACACTTCTAAATAAAACAAAATCTGTTCGTTAAATTATTTATTTTAAATAATATGCAACATCAATTCTTTACAAAAGTTCAGCCTTTTACGGGGAGTTGCCGAAGCTGTTTACTGCTGAGCGGGCATGATTGTGAGTAAATAAATAAAAAAAAGAATTTTTTTAGGCTGGTGTGGCTGGAATATTATGAGTTAGTATCACATATGCTGTTTAGAACTTCTCCTCTTCAAGACCGTGTTTAAAGAACATCATAATGGGGGTGGAAACTCCATCAATATCCCTGTATTCCAACATGGCTACCATGCCATCACAATCCATGGACTCGCCAGTGAAGAATTGGAGATCCTTAAACCTACTGAGTATGTCCTTCATTGCTTTGTTCATGTTAGTTTTGAACACTTCTACTTGGTCAGGTGACTTCTCCTCCAATTTTGCTATTAATCTGAAATTAAAACAATGTCTTGCAAAATCTATTTATAGTTGGTGAAACCCTATTATAGGAAATAACAATTATTCCCTGTAATATCATCAATATAGTTCTTTTCATTTAAATTTTAAATAAATGTGTACAGAAAAAGTAATATTAAAATAATTTATAAAGAATTAATAAACCTCAAACAGGCACCTCACAACATCCAACCAAAAGCAAAATCAGACTAAAATGCCCTAAACTTAAATTTGTTATAATTAATTTATCAAGTACTTCGACTGAACACTTTATCTAAACATGTGGAGGAAAAGTTAGTAACACGAGTTGGTTTGCACACATACAGTTTCATTTATATGTAACATTCTTATTGTATTGTTAGATTTAGTATTGGTGCAAAGCCTTAAACGACACCCATGTCCCTACTCTTAACCTTATAAGAGTACACTAAACGCTATTCCAAAGAGCTGTGAATAAATGTCATCTCCATTTCATGAACACACATTATAAAAATGAGCGTTTTTTCACTAAAGTTATTTGCTCTTGCATCAAAAGCTCCATAGATCAACATTAAACATTAATCTCTGGTATTAGATGATGCTACATAGTAATTAAATATTATATTAGTGTTAGTAATTAAATATTTAACATCTACTTTATAATATCTGCCTCATTGCCTATATCAATGAAACTATAAGAAAAAATACTTAAAATTGGAGCACAAGATGTGTAGATCATATAGTTTAAAGTATGAATTAATTTTATTTAAGATAGATCTCCACAATTTGTATGCCTTGTGAACTTCTCTAATCTCTAATAAGGAGAAATTCAGATAAGTAATTGAGAAAACTGATAAGAGATCAATAGATATTATAACCATTTAAAATATGAAATTTGTCCAAAAATCCTTTAACACATGCACAAAAATATTAAATAAAAGTAGCCAATATTAATTGTAAAAACAGCTGCCAGATCATATTGGTCCTTTGATGGATAAACTGAATCATTCACAAAATCAGTTAACTACAGTGATCCTAAATAATTGAGGCTATAAAACTGTAATGATAAAAATTTGACATTGATAGAGGCCACATGCTAAACATTGATAAGAATATTGTAAACAACTGCTACAACACAAGAAGAAATTATAAACATTAGATATCTTCTCAAATATTTGACTTTTGTCTTTTAAGTATAACGCATAATTCACTATCATGAACACAAAAGAAAATCAATGAATCACCACAAAGCATGGATATTAGTCACCTATCCAAACTGTAAATTTTGCCACGTTTCCACGTTATACAAAACACTATGCACTCACTTTTTCATGTAGTCTTTAAGGTACAATGTGTAAGACTTCTTGTCACCAAAGGCGTAGCTCTCCACAAGCCTGTGGTTGAGAACAATGTCAACACCGCTCTCGGCTGCGGTGTCAGTTCCCTCATCCGCTTCCTCAGCAGAGGGATTGAATCCCTCAATTTTAACTTCACCCTGGATCCTCGTTTCCAATTTACCGGTGACTTCATAGATAACTTCGTCAACCAGTTTTATTTTGTATGTGTCCGAGAACATCTCGTCACCTGGAAATTTAACATGTTCACATAAAGTATGCAAGTTCTCTTCGTAAGATTTTATGTAGAAGACTGTCGATGTGGCAAGACAATGAAAAATACCCGTCGAGACATATTCCGATTAATGTCAAACTCACATCAGTGATATACAATAAAATATAAAAATACTGACAGGGAATATTCGCTAATAAGATCTTATATTAATTTACCGGTAATAATATCCTTATAAATTCTCATTTTGCAGGATTACGGGCGATTAAAATAATAAAAACCGAAACTACGGCTTCTGGCCCCAGGAACTAAACCGGAAAGGGCTTTGAAAGAAAGATAGGCAGCAGTGCTGCCATATATTTTTTTCTTTAATAACTTGTTTTATCAATATATTTTTATAATTAACAATCAACAATTGTTAAATTTTACATATTATTTTTTATTTACATAAAAGCATAAGTTTTTATTAATTTAATTTGTTTTCTTTTAAATGTTAAGTTAAATTATTATTTTTTTCGTCATCGTCAGTCACCATAGAGTATATTGCAACAATTCTTAGAGTATACATAGCATATGTATACTATAAGCTACTAGCTAGCTATAAAACTTTCAATTAAGTAACGATCTCTTTTAAAAATAAATAGCATAGCTTCGTTGTATATTATTTCTTGTTTTTTTATTAGTATAAGTAATTTTTAAACGTTATTAAGATTTGTCAGCCATGGTTAAGACAAAAATCGAGTAATGACATGAAGTTATGGAAAATGGAAATAGTCACTGTCAGTATCTTGTTCTTCCTGGTCTATGGTTAGTATTTAGTAACATTCAGTAATACGGAAGTAGATGGCGCACTGCAATATTTTCTAGTACAAAGATGGAAGTTTTTCTTTATAATTCTACAGTCTGTAGATTATGTGGTGAAGAAAATGACAATGGAACCTTATTATATTCTAGCGAAGAAAATAATCAAAACTTATGTGAAATAATAAACACCTATTTACCTATGAAGGTAAAATAAGTTTTCAATAAATTGTGATTGTTTTGACTTCCAATTTTGCCAAAATGGCTAACCTTTACGGTAAAATTATATCATTTTCATATCTTTATTTTTACAATGGAATTATATCTAATACTTAAAAGACAAAAAATACTTATTCAATTTTCTTAAAGTATTTATTTCCATAGTTTTAAATTTCTACTCTTCTGATCCAAGAAAAATATCGGTTGATTTATAAATTAACAGTACTTGTTCTATTTTATGCATTCATAGTTCCTCGCGCCACAATTTGACGTATTTGTTTCTGGCTTTTGCAAAAATAAATAATAAAAACATGATTTTAGTAACAAATAGTTAAAAAAAATTACGATTAGGTATATATTAAATTTCGAACTGCTTTATGTTAGACATCTTGAATATCGTCTGCTTGTAACAGGTATCAGATGACGGAGAACTTCCTCGAACTATTTGCCCTGGTTGTACCATTCAACTAGAAGCCACTGTTGAATTTTTAAATTTAATTATAAATGGTCAAGTGAGTAGAATTCGTTTTTATGTAATATTCATTTATAATTTCAAATGGCCAAAAACTAAATTCTTAGGTTTTACATATTAGTATACTCTTATAATGCAGTTTTTGTAATTTTTCTCAGAAATGAGATATGTTCCCGCGGTAAAAAGTATCCTATATGTTGACCCGGATGACCAACTATCACCATACCAAATTACATCAAAATCCCTGCAGTGGTTTTTCTGTAACAGACAGACAAAAATTATAAAAACTATAGATCCGGCCTCTGCATCGATAATAATATTTATTTCAATTAGATTTTCCAAAAAATATTTAAGGTACTGATTCGACTTAGTTACAATTTTATTATATGTATAGATTTTTCTCTAATGTAATTTTCAGAAAATTATAAGAGAGCTATATCAAAGGGAAAAAGAATATAAAAAAAATATATTGAATGCGCCAACACCTGGAGTCATATCAGAGAAAATTATTTATGAAAGTAAGTAGCATTAGAAAATACAATGCAAATTAAACTTTTATTTGATAACTTTTCTATTTTACTACTTATCTAATACACTTAACATACCTTTTGAAAAAAAAAATTACAGTAAACACCAGTGATGGGGCATACCATGTGGAACATCCAATATCTCTACAAGTTGCTGGTCTTGAAAAACCAAAGCGTAAAAGGGGTAGGCCTCCTAAAAAACCTAAAAGTCCAGAAGAACTGGCACAAGAAGCTGCAGCAAAGGAAAAACAAGAACTTATATCAAAGATTAATAATAAAGAAGATGAACAGCCATCGGGCAAGAGAAGGCGGAAAACACCAACCAGGTTTAAGGAAGCTGTCCAGGTAACATTTTCAGTGACCAATAAAAAATTATATAAATAGTAAATAAATATGTACTTACTAATTGAAATTTATTTAAAAGTTGAAGTGTTTATTTAAAAGTTGAATATATTTAAAATAAAAATTGTGAATAAAATTAAAATTATCTGTTCAGATTTTTTCCTGCTTTACAGCATTTTTCTTGCTTTACAACAATCACGGTCACAGGAGTGATTGCTGTAAATCATTCAAAAAGTGGAGAATGAAAAATAAAAAAATAACTGAAAAAATCTGAAAAGATAGTTTTATTTAAAATATTTTGTTTTTATTTAAAATTTAAATATTCACATAAATCTAAGAAAAGTATTGACTTCGCTTTTTTAAATTTGATATTTATTGAAAAAATTGCCAAAAAATGCCTTGTTGATTTATCCTGACTTATAATGTTTTCTGTAATCATATCGGATGAATATAGGAAAAAAAGTAAAAAAGCAATAAAATAAAGAGACAAGAGTTTGTTTGAATGCACTAATCTCAAGAACTACTAATCCAACTCGAAAAATTATTTTTTGCATTAGACAGGCCGTTTATTGAGGAAGGTTATTGGCTATATATCATCATGCTACTACCTGAGGGATAGGGGTAGGAATCATAATTGTCAACAAATCGGGCAGACTTCCATATATTATTGTAAAACTGATGTTTACATTGGAAGTTTAAATGCGGGTGAAGTTGCAGGTAATGCTATAATTAATAAAATATATTGTATTTATATACAGGGTAAAGAACTGGAAAGAATATTTATGGAGAAAGGAGTGATAGATGCTGATGAAAGTGACCAAGAAAGGAAGTCTGATGGTGAAATACCTTTAAAGACTCCAACGGTGAGAGAACCTGAAGTGATAGGACATTTAGAAGACTCGGGCGAGCTTGTTGTGGTTGTCAAAGGAATAGGAAGAGGAAGGCCTAAAGGTAAGCAATAGGGTTCGAAACTATAATTATCATGATAAATATAGGTTGATAATTATCTTTGATAAATATAATTGAAATTGGGGCGCCGCAGGATCGCTTACGCATTCAACTACGACGCCCCGACGGCAGGTCTGCCGAAGCAGACCACAACAACAACGGGGTTGCTCCAAGGTCCACTGCTATCAGAGAAGTACCAGGAGCAACCCGCATGGTACACCGCCCTCCGAAGAGGGCCGCCTCCCACCGCCCACCGAAGCGGGCCACCTCCCTGTGCGTTTCTTGGCTTCGCGCCCGGCTGTATTGCCGGGCCCTACTACCACGACAAGGTGAACGCACGTTGGGGGGGCAAATATCAATACCTACACAAGGATTGCTAAGTTTATATCAGTTTGATAATTATCGGATAATTATCTGATAATTATCGCGATAATTATCAAAAGATATATTTATCTTTATAATTTCATACCCTGCCAAAAAGTGACATGATGAAGTTAGCTGCATTCCTTTTACAAACAGAGAGTTGTGACATACGGGATGAAATCTTTAGCTATTTTTGTTGTTATGCCAAAGAAGTATACACGCACACATATATTTTTTTTATTTAATTTTATTTTTTATAATTCCAGGTCGCATGCGTCAAACTCGCGAGCAATGCGCGATATGTGGCATGGAGTTTTCATCGGTGGGTCGTTACATGTCTCATGTAGCGCAGCACGGTCCAGTACAGTTCCTGTGTGGCTGCGGGACGGCTTTTCCTACTAGACTTCGCTTTGAAGACCATCAAGAAGAGACCGGACATACTGGACGCACCGTGCAACCACTTCCTAAAGCAATAGAAAAAAAAACTGTGAGTAGTTATTTTAGATTGTGATTGGAGTTTGATTTCCGATAGTGAAAATACATATATGTATGTACAATTCATGTGTTATGGCTTTTTCATATATTGTTATTCACTGTTGATTTATAATAACAAATACAATTTATTTTGAATAATATAAGAAGACTGTCTGAAAATACATTTTTGAACGAGTTCAAGTTTTACTATTTTAATAAAATTTACAGCAAACAAAAGAAATAACTCTGGAAGCTAAAAATGTATCAGAAAAGCCAGTAGCGAGTTCAGAAAAAGTAGAAGAAATTAACAACACCATAATATCTAAGGAACTGCCTGATTTAAGTGATGTGAGTAGACTTGAAACTGCGAAGCCTGAAAATACCAACCAAGAACCAATAGATGTTGTAGCTGATGAACCTACTTCTGTCAAAACGGAATCCAATAATACAGGTAAGTCTTTCATTTTGTAAAGTACATAGTTTTCACCCGCAGTTCTGCTCGCTTGGTACATCAATAAATCTATAATATTTTTTGAAAAATCTTATTGAATAGCTTATAGAATTTTTGTCGGTCTGTCTGTTACTGCATCACAAAAAAACCACTGCAAGGTATGGCGATAGCTGGTGTGAAATAAAATGAGACTATGCAGACTTATTATTAGCACTTTGGAATCGTCAATTTGCTTGAAGGGGCGTCAGTGTAGTCAGTCCATGAGGTAGCTACCACTGGCTCGGAAAGCAGTTCTGCTGAGAATAGCCGGCATGATTTTATAACTATGTATTATCTATACAAATAAATAAAAATGAAGTGTCTATTTGTAATATAAAAAGAACAGCTTTTTACGAAACGCATATGAAAGTATGTACAGTACTTAGTTATAAGAAAAAAACTATTTTTAAAGTTATTGTCTGTATGTCTGTTTGTTTGGTCTGGCTAATCTCCGAAACGGCTGACCGATTTTGACTCACTGGCAGATAGCTGATGTTATAAGGAGTAACTTGGGCTACTTTTATTTTAGAAAAAATAATTAGGGTTCTGTGCAATAAAATTAAACTCTGGATGGTGATTACTTCAGCAATATTTATTTATTTAGATAATTAGTTAAAATTTAGTAGATTTTGATGTGAAGTTTATGTATTCAAAACACACATGTCAACCCTACTTATCTATGCTCAAAAGCGAAAAGCATGTTCAGGGATTCCCCAAAATAATTGAGACATAATTTTTACGTAAAGTACTGACAGGGGAGAGGGAGGGGTTAATAATCACTAAAATTCTGCTTATGTAATACTTTAATGACCTCTTAAGTGTTATTATGATTAATTTTATTACAGATAGTGTAAATGAAATTCCCAATGACGAGGAAGTGCAGACAGAAAAGGGTAAAGTTAAAATAAAATGCAACTACTGTGACAAGTTGTTCAGCACGCGCCAGAGCAAGTCGCTACACATTAAGGTTTGAATACAACTATATCAAAATAAGTATAGTAAAATGTATTAGCGAGTTAATTTTTATATCTCTTACATATAGCTGTCAAATCTTTTTTTTCAAATATTGATATTTATAGAGTGCATGGAATGTATTAGAAATTTAACTTTTTAATCTGCTTGTTTTGATCACAACCATATTATTTGATATCTACACTCGACTTATGTAATATAGTGTTGCAATATTTTACGTTACCTATAGAAATTGTAACATGTATTTATAAATAAAGTATAAATATTATATACATAATACAATAATAATAAAATTATCGCTGAGTTCTATAGTATACTAGCTGTACCCGCGGCTTCTCCCTCGATCAAACTACTAAAAAAAACAAACCCTTTGTCACACCGACAGCAGCGCCACCTACCGTGTACAATTGTGAATCTAAACCATTCCCAGATCCCCTTGAACACACACAAAAAATTTCATCAAAATCGGTCCAGTCGTTTGAGAGAAGTTCAGTGACATACACACTCACAGAAGAATTATATATATAAAGATTTATAGGCACCTAGGCACACTCGAGTGAACCGCAGTAATGAATATTTCACTACTGGTATAAATATTAAAGATTGTTAGAATTCATTTTTTATTTCTTCATACTATAATAGCTCTTTTTTTCTACTTTCCCACTCAAGCAAAACATATATGATATAACCTAGTTATTCCATATTATGTCGACGCGAGCAAAATCCCACGTCCCACAGCTGCTGCTGCTTCCCTTCAATACGAGGGGGATTCACCGTGAGTCAACTCGTAATCATATTGAAAATGAATCACACATAAATATTTTAGAGGTGTGAGACTCGGGATTTGGACTCGCTTCATTTGGTTTCCAAAACAAGCGCGTTACCGTTGGGCTACCATTGCCCATCTACATCTATACAGATAAAAAAAAATTAAGTGTCTGTATGCTATGTCAAAATGACAGCGTTTTACTAAATGCATATGAAATCATATACAGTACTTATAAGAAAACACAATTTTTAATATATTTGTCTGTCTGTTTGGTTGTTCTGGATAATCTCTGAAATGGCTGGACCGATTTTGGCAGGACTTTCAATGGAAGATAGCTGATGTTATATGGAGTAACATGGCTACTTTTGTTTAACAAAAACATTATTAGGAGTATATACAGTTGTATCTAACTGAGCGTGTGCGCGGCGGCAGGCGGCGCACCTCGGCGAGAAGGCGTTCGCGTGCGGCGAGTGCGGCGCGCGCTTCGCCTACCCGCAGTCGCTGGCCGTGCACCGCGTGGCGCACCGCCGCACGCGCCCCGCGCGCGGGTACGCCTGCGACCTCTGCGGGAAGGTACACGCGCATACATTTTTTATTTATTCATGCACCATAAAATATATCTATACTTATTATAAAAATAAGTCCCCCGGCCGCGTCTTTCTGTCCTCCTGTCTGTCTGTACGCGATAAACTCGAAAACTACTGAACGGATTTTTATACGGTTTTCAACAATAGAAAGAGTAATTCTTGAGGAAGGTTTAGGTATATAATTTATTATGCTTTTATGTAAATTAGCTGAAATACGGCGACAAATGTTGAAGAGGTCGCAAAAAATCTCGCCAAATGGGAACTTTCCACGCGAACGCCGCGTAAACTAGCAAAGATACAGTTAAGTAATGTACTAGAGAATTCAAAATCTATAAAAATGCTACAAAAAAGTCCGCGATAGCATATCTCTATCTCTTACGGTTGACTTACAATAACCACTTTTATGTTAACATTTTTAATTAAAAACATTACGTTATTTTCAAAGTTATTTTCTTTAGTTCGGTATTAATCCTTATCCAAATGAATATTTTAGTTAGCTTAGTCATTTAATGCAGATTAAAATTGCTCTTTACACTAAATCAATCAGATGAATAGTTTTTGAGATATCGTTGTTAGAAGTAATTAGTAGCGAAACATTTTTAATGCTTGGCGAGCATTGAGATGCCTACGGCGAGTCCATCCCCTCTGCCCCGCATCGCTCGACCGCCTGCTCAAGCTATATAAACCGGGCGATGTAGCGCGCGATCCTAGGATACTTTTTACCGCGGGAAAATATCTTATTTCTGAGGAAAAATACAAAAACTGCAATGTAAGAGTATACTAATATGTAACACCTAAGAATTTAGTTTTTGGTCATCTGAACGCGGGCGGAGCCGCGGGCAATGCTAGTGTTATACAAAATAAACTAACAATGCCGACAGAGGATAACTTATCTCTTTAAGAGATTTCTTCCAGAAACCCTTATATACACCCTTACCACATACCCTTATATGTAGTTTTTTTTGAACCGTTTCTGTTGATGAAATGAAATTAAATTTATTTATTTAGTAACAATTCTTATTTGTATACAGTAAAACAATGATTACGATGATACTGCAAAAGTATAAACTGCGTTACAGATATCAACGCCCGCCCCCGTACAATATTTAAACTATTTTATAAAAACTGAATAACAATAAGATGATGATGATGTATGTGTGTGTGTGCGTGTATGTATGTTTAATGTTTAATGCTCACTGTTTTTTATAAAATAGTGACCAGTCTCTTAACTGCCCTTCTTTTTTTTCACAGCGTTATGAATGTTTTATAGCAATCATGGTCACACGGGAGAGACTCAAAATGTCAGGAACCAAGAATTAAAATATATCCGCGAAAATATCCGAAAAGATTTTTATTTAAAATATCAAATATTCGCGTAAAACTATGAAATTATTAGGGAGGGGGTTTTAATTTAAAAAATATAGAATTATAAATAGAGCAAAATATAGATTTTAGTTTATTATTGCATTAATAAATGCGTTTACATTAGTTACGTACGTTTTGAAGCAAATTTTATTCTTTCCTGTGATTATGGTTACTCGAAGCACAGTGCTTAGTTCCCAACGTTTGTGTTTCTTTCACGTGGAATTGGTATGACGGATTGGCGTGATTTTTTGTATGCAGATAGTCGGAGGCCTAGAGAACGACAAAGGCTACTTTTTACCGGGAGATATCTCATTCCCACGGGAAAACACATAATACAATCCAAAAATTTATTTCTGATCAGAATTACTAGAAACTTGGTATTAATGCTCTTCAACACCAATAAATACGTGTTTTAGCATTTTTCGAAATTCATCCTATAAGGGGGTAAAATAGAGGATGAAAGTTTGTATGAAACCTAGGTATCTACATTTTTAGACATTTTTTTTTGTAGTTTTAACGCGAGCGAAGCCGCGGGTTCTGCTAGTATTTATATATGTCGCAGGTGCTGAACCACCCGTCGTCGGTGGTGTACCACAAGCAGGCGGAGCACGCGGCGCAGCGCTACGTGTGCGGCACCTGCGGCAAGCACTTCCGCCACCGCCAGCTGCTGCAGCGCCACCAGCTCGTGCACTCGCAGGCGCGGCCCTTCACGTGCAAGGTACCACACCACCACCGCCGCACCACGCACACACACAGACTAAACAATTATTTATTTATTTATCATCAGTTGAGAAACAAACATTATTTATAATACAGATATATGTAAATACAAACTATTCTTCTCATCAGCCAATAAGGTTTCCACTTATAAGTAAACATGGAGTGAATAAAAAACAAACTATACATTAAATAACCTAAACATAATGTTTGTGTACAGAGAGGATTACAAAATAAATATTACATATATTAAGGATGGAGTTTATGCTTAATGCTTTGAGAAATTCTGTTGATATTACTATCAAGTATGCCAATTTGATTATAATATATACTAGCATTTCCCGCGGCTCCGCCAGCGTTCAGATGACCGAAAAGCAAGTTCTTAGGTTTTACATATTAATGTACTCTTACAATGCAGTTTTTGTATTTTTTCTCAGAGGTGAGATATATTTCCGCGGTAAAAAGTATCCTACATGTTGACCCGGATAACCAGCTATCACCATACCAAATTTCATCAAAATCCCTCCACTGGTTTTTCTGTGATGCGGTAACAGACAGACAAAGAGACAAAAATTCTAAAAACTATAGATTCGGCCTCTGTATTGATAATAATGTCTATTTCATTAAGATTTTCCAAAAAATATTTTATGTACAGATTCGGCTTGGTTACAATTTTATTATATGCATAAATTATGCTATCTACAAGCTCTTATACATTCAAAAGCACTTGTAATAATTTATTTCATTTCATTACAGAGTCCGTCAAAGTGAAAAACAGTAGTGTGATTTACTGGCTCTGTATAACAAGTTCTATGACATTGTCTGTTTTATTTCTTAGTCTCAGGTTGTCGAATATTGTTTCTTTGGTTTTATGTGATAAATGTTGATAATAAGACAGTTATTTTTCCATAAAATTACAAATTAAAAAATTTGAAAATTGTAATTATTTTTATTGCTACGATTCTTACTATTTATAGTTATTTATTTTTGATGTTATTTATTAATAATATAAATGAATAATTTTGTTGTGGATGTCATATATTAGTATCTAAAAAAAATTCGTTATATTTGTCCAAAATTTTATGGTTAAATAATAAATTATTAGAAAAATCTATCTGTACTGAAAAGAGTGATTAAACGAGAAGTATATTGGTGACGCCATTCGTAACCCTATTCTATAGCTATAATCAATGTGTATTTGCGGAGCAAAATAAAAAAAAAACATAACTTCTAAACTACGAATAATCGCGGAACATACAGGGGTGTTTAAAAAATTATGATGTCATTTCTTAGGTCATTCTGTATATAAACTTTTAAGCCAATAAAGACGAAAAAATAACATTATAGTACAAAATACTGTTACAAATAACAAATGAACAATGTATCTATCTATCCAGACGTGCAACGCGACGTTCAAGACGAAAGCGAACCTGCTCAACCACCAGCTGCTGCACTCCGGCGTGAAGAAGTTCTCGTGCGACATCTGCCGCCAGCGCTTCGCGCACAAGACCAGCCTCACGCTACACATGCGCTGGCACACGGGTCGGTAACATACATATACTTATCTATACATATAAATAAAATTGAAGTGTCTGTTTGTTATGTCAAAATTATAACTTTTAACTCAACTTATGTACCATATATACTTTTATAAACAGACAGACACAAATTAAATTTTTTTTTTTTATATAAAAAAAAAAAATTTTTAATTTGTGTCTGTCTGTTTGTTCCGGCTAATCTCCAAAATGACTGGATGATTTTGACGTGACTTTCATTGGTAGATAGCTGATGTTATATGGAGTAACTTGCCTAATTTTGTTTTAGAAAAAGAATTAGGGTTCAGTGCATAAACATTAAACCCATGAAATTGTAAACTAAATTCGAGTAGCTTTCAGTATTTAGCACTATTTATAAATAACAATTTGAATCAAATATTAAACAAGTAAGAGATAACAGGCGTGAAACCGTTCTCGTGCTTCGTATGCGGCAAGAGCTTCAGTCAGAAGGGCAACCTGTCGGAGCACGAGCGCATCCACACGGGCGAGAAGCCCTACCAGTGCGGCGAGTGCCCGCGCCGCTTCACCACGTCGTCGCAGCACCGCCTGCACGCGCGCCGCCACGCCGCGCGCGCCGCGCTCGCGCCGGCGCAGGACAGGCCGCACTGCGGCAAGTGCGGCAAGCGGTGGGCTTTTATTGACTTTGACTTTTTTTTTTGGGTGTTGGGTTGAGCTGCTTTACGCCCTGTCCGCAATGCGATATTTCTGCTGCACGATTTTTTTTTCTCGTAATTCTGTAACATTGAATCTTATAGGCGTAGCCGCATTGGCGGTTAAAAATTCACACGGGAAAAAATATCTGTGATTTGATCCAAATTGAACGCGACGCGGAGTAGATTTCTCAAGGCCGTAAAATGGGTGAATGTGATGTTCATGACATCTTTAAATAGGTCTGTCACGCCACCGCCGTCGCCGTAAAATCAACTAAATTAATTTTTTTCTGTTATTTTAAGACGTTCGTATCAACCAAGAACTACATCGAGCTGACAAAAATCGTACGAAATTTTATTGACAGTGCGTAATAAGTATAATTCCGAAAATCATCAAACGCGAGAATAAAAATCGCATGGTGAAGTATCGCAGTGTGGACGGGACCTTAGAGATTTTTGTTTTTATTTTTGGTAGAGCTAGTTTGTATGCAGTATGGATGGCAAAGGTTTTGAGTTAATTTGTTTGTAATAATAAAAAAATTTCAAATTATATCACTTCTTTTCATTCTCGCTGTGTTCCACATATTGTGTGCTCGTTGCTTTTAATTTGGATGACTACATATTTGTTTATTTGATTTTGGACTTTATGCGTCTGTGCTATTAATTTTCTAATTGCTAGCAGTGTACATTTTGACTCAATGACTTAAAAAAACTTCTATATTAAATATTTCTAGAATGGCATCCCGCAACGCGTGGGCGCTGCACGTGCGACGCGACAAGTGCAGCGCGCGCGCGCAACGGAGGTTACTCGAAAGGAGTAAGGTAACATACAACTAAAATAAACACATAATTTGACATTTAGCATACATGTATGTTCATTGAACAATAGTATTACCTTCTGTGTCATGACAAAATAATAGCATTTAATTTATTTTATACTAGCAGTACCCGCGGCTTCAAACAGCGTTTTCAAACCATCGAGGAGCACTAAGAAATATACACACAAAATTTCATCCAAATCGGTCCAGTCCTTTAGGAAGAGTAGGTTAACAAACACACGTATGGAAGAATTATATATATTAAGATATATATACCATGTAATGTTTAAAAACTAAAAAAATTGAGGTGATCGGGAAGCTGTCACCCTATACTAAAAAATGCCAGCATCCCACACAAATACCAGAGAGTGCATCAGCAACATGCAGAACTGGTCTTAAAGGTCTTCTGAAAAATTGCCATAAGCGCTTATCAAGCATAAATTATCTCAAATTCGACAAAACCGACAAAACAAAATAAAATCAGAGCACAAACAAAGAGTCTTTAGTGCTTATATACGCACTATAAAAAGCAACATTCATTTCAGCAACCACACAAACAAATAAGTCTTCTAGTCACAGACAAGTCCCAACAAGTCGGACATGAAGAGGGAGAAGTACAGCAGAACATACAGTTGGAGGAAGAAGCAGAGACTGAGACAGAAGAGAGAGTGATATACGTGGCGTACGACGCGGACGACGTCGACGCGCCCGCCTTCCACATACTGGACCCTGAACAGGTACTTATTGTTATGTAAGACTTATGTTATTTCCTTTCTAATAACTGTTTTTTGAAGTTATACCTCTTTTGGCGCGTTAGAAAAAAAATAATGAGAGTGATTTTTTACGATGCGACAGATTTAAGTTGTCTGCCCACTACACCGTCTCATACCACGACCGTGCTATGAACGTATCAGGCACAGAAACAAGCGACACGCCCACTACTATGCCCACTAGAACGTATCAACCGCGTATCAACCGTGTACCGCCCGCGTATCATTCGCACTATAGTTCACCTGTGCTTTCACGTGAGGCAGCCGCGTCAGAAAGATCGAGAGAATACTTTGTTAATAAAATTATTTCCTATACCTATACGATGGTGTAAATTATCCAGCAGAGAATTAACAATGATAGTCATTGTTTTAGAAGAGGAAAAAAGAGAAAAGTATAACATCAGTTGATCATGACGTTGCTGGGATCATGCCGCTTAAAAAATAATAATTTAAAAGTAAATACATATTATCAGTAGAAGGCAAGCGGCAACATGTTTATAACACACACACAACACACAACACTTTTATAGCAGAAAAAAAAACAAGAAATTGTATTTTAAAATTATTTTAGCATGTTGTATCTTAATAATAATTTTCATCAAAAAAATTATTAAAAAAGTTTGAAATTTTCAAATTAAAGATGTGTAGACAGGACAACGTCTGTCGGGTCCGCTAGTGTTCTTATGAAAAAAATTCAGGATTATCTAATGAACTTGGCATCCATTTAGATCTCAATTCTTTTGTCGGTTAAGTTGACAACCACGCTTATTTTTAATATTGAACTTTGCTCCCATTTTCCCATTTATGTTTTGATGGGATAATTATTACGTGTCACTCTTATTAATAAAATATATAGTGCTGCTTCAAAGGAAAGAAGAAATTACATTTTATATATTCTGTGTAAACATTTTTCATAGTCGTTTTATTCTAATTTTATATTTAGTGTATAATGTATTTTTAAGGCTGTCAATATAGAAGAGAACAAAGTGCTCACAACCTGCGAACTGTATTCCGGGTCCTCACTTCTGGTGCCGCAGCAACTGGAAGCACTGAAAATGGACCTGCAGCCTGAGGTATTGGAGCTGGAGGAAGAACAAGAGATGGAGTTGGAAACAGACCAGCTTATGTTGGATGGAGAAAATATACCGGTATGTGGTATATCGACTATATATTATTTGACTACACGTTTGGCTCGGTTTGTAATGACCCTACTCGCTGTGCCAGCGGTCGCGGATTCGAGTCCCGCTGGGGGTATTAATTTGTGTGATGAGCAAAAATGTTTGTACTCCAGTCATGGGTGTTCATATTTATAATATGTATTTAAAGTTATATGTGTGTAGTGTACTATGTATCAACATTCTGGTATCCATACTACAAGCCTCGTAGCTTACCATGCAACTAAATGGTGCTGTATCCCAACAACATATTTATTTACATACTGAAGGAATAATTTTTTTGTATGTCTTATTCTATGACACAAAAGAGCTAAAACTTTATGAGATTTAGAACAATTTACAGTTTACGGCGATGGACGAACCGAAGTCCAAATGGTTATATTTGCACTGAGGATAGAATATTGAACCATCTAAAAAAGTTTTTTTCGCTCAGGAAATCCGACATTTGCTTCTAATTGCTTCACACTTATATTATAACATTTTATTAATCTAAGCTGCAATAGAAATAGTTGACGATATCTTGTTTAGAGGGAGATAGAAAGGACTATTATAGAACTCCTATTGTATGACTTCATTTTGCTTATTTAATCTGTTTTAACTTTAAAAATATATAATACCAAATTAAGCCAAATCTTTAATTGAATGTTGAAACGTACTTTATGTAAAATCAGCCCTATACATATACCCCTTACATATATAAATAAAATTAAAAAAATATTAAATATAAATAATTAATTATAATAGTGTATAATTAACTAATGCGTACATTCGCCACTGCCCACTGGCCAGGTGACGGACGAGGCGGGCAACCCGCTGCACTTCACGATGCAGGACGGCACCAAGCTCGCCATCACCTCCATCGACGGGAAGACTCTGCAGGTACGATACATATACCAGTTTATAATCATCATATACAATATGATTATCAACTGGCGAACCTTTAAATCGTTTCAAACTTCATTACATCAATTATTAGAATGAATATCCGTATTATTAGAATGAATATCTGTATTCTGTTTCATAAGTGAAAGAAACAATATATATAACAATATATCTCATGACAAAAACTTTAAAAATTCTGTTGCATAATGAAATATAGCTTAGGCCTTCTTGGTCAATACCTTCTAGTCTTCTATCTGTAAAACTCCCATTAATAATAATAATAATATTTATTGCAAAGGTATACACCCAATTTACAATATAATAACATATATGTAGTTATACGAGTCAATTTTTATATCACTTTTGTATATATATGCAAGTAAAAAAAAACATTGTAAAAACAAAATTCAGTCCGACTCTTCATTAAATTAAACTAGAATTAGAAACAATACATCGCTGTTGAGTACGTAGGCCATTGATATCGGTTAAGCAATTTCGACAATAGGGAATATGTGTGATTTTTTTTATCCAATAACTTACATCGTTATATAATTGTAAAAAAATATTCAGCTCCAAAAAAATAAAATTTAGTATAAAAAAATTTCAAAATATCATACTGATACAGATATATTAAACGCCCGCAAAATTAAAATACCGACTCAATTTGTAGCGACAAAATCGCTAATCGCTCTGTTATGATATACTCTGACGTCACATTCAGTCTGACCAATGGCGTTCGTTTTAACTATTTTGAATTTCCCACCTATATCTGCACTTTTAATAATTATTTCCTTAATTAAAAAGAAATTACATTAAAAAACATTGACATAGGCTTAATTCAAAAGAAATATAGATTATAAACGAAATATATTTCACCTTTATTTAAATCACACGCATATTTCCTATTGATATATTATAGCTTTCTTAGTGATCATTTGTTCAAACCACCAATACTTGTTGTACTTTACAATAGAGTGTTTTTCCTTCAATAGAGTTGTTGCTTCCTAATACAAACTTTCATCCCCATTTTTACTACATTAAGGGATTATTTTCGAGATAAAAAGTATCCTATGTCCTTCCCAGCGTCTCAAACTATCTTTTTACCAAATTCATCGAAATCGGTTCAGTAGATCCAGAGATTACCCCCCTACAACGTCACAAACGAACAAACTTTACCTCTTTATAATAATAGTATAGATATATATTATTAAATATATAGATTATTAAGTTTTTTTTAAAGTAAAATGTGTATTTTATACCAATCTAATTGACGTTTAAAAATTATTAAGTTTGTAATTCGATAAATTGGTTGTTTGGACAAAATATAAGCTCTGAGACACCAATATACTAAAAAAACTATTAACATTCACTTTTTTTACAATTAATTTGTATTTGTTTATATTGTTTGCAGGTCATCACACAGGACGGCCAGACCATACCCGTGGAAATCAATGGATATAATAATGAAGAGGTTTGTGAAAATATTGTAAAGTATTTATTTTAATGAATGATTTTCGTTACCACAGATTGTAACTTAGTTTCATTGTAGTAAAACTATTTTTGTAGATGGTAATTAAGTAATCACCTGGCAAATAAAATGGCGTGCTTGCAAATGTTGCTTGTGTGCCATATCAGGCATTCAGAACTCTCAGAAAACATTTTGCGATAATTTAGCTTCGTTTGTTACGTAAATAAACCATCAGTCTGGGCATATAATACAATATTGATAACATCAAGTTGATCTGTTGGACTTATGGATAGTTGAACTCTTAAAATAACAAGTTTATACGGAAACGTGTTAGAAGTGAAACTTCATTGGTTAATACTTTCTTAGATTTACGCGAATGTTTGACATTATTAAATAAAACTATCTTTTCGGATTATTTCGCGGATTTATTTTGATTTTTGGTTCCCGACGTTTCGAATGCTTTACAGCAATCATGGTCACGGGAGAGACTGAGGTGTTAACCTCCTCACCTCACCTCACAAAATAATAAATAATCCGAAAAGATAGTTTTATTTAATAACTTCATTGGTTATTAATATTTTAAACGTGTAAGATTAATCTATACATCTATACAGATAAGATAAAATTGAAGGGTCTATTTGTAATGTCAAAATAACAGGTTTTTACTAAATGCATATGAAATTATATAGGGTATTTATAAGAAAAACACAATTTTTGTTTGTCTGTTTGTTCTGGCTAATCTCCGAAACGGTTTTGACGGGACTTTCACTTTCAGGTAGAAGAATTAGGGTTCCGGTCAAAAAAATTAATATGTACCTAGAGACGAACCCGAGCTAAACCAGGTTGAGTTCATTGACTCTCTTTACTCTTGACTTACTCATTAGTAAATTAATAAAAACTTAATATTATTTCACACAAAGAGGAGAGAATAATATTTTATCTCTTTCTATATTGCTGGATTCTTACATCTATCGTGTATATTCTAAGGGATGAGCCCGAGCGGACCGAGGGTGAGTCGCTAATTGTAACAATAAACAATGGTTGCAGGACGCAGAGGCAATGGCGAAGGGCGCGGAGGAGGCGCCCGTCACGCACTTCTACGCGCTCGTGTAGCGCCCGCATTTGCTGTTTGTTAACTTGTTCTCAATACAACACATCTAACAAGGAGGCATTCCTTACTCGTCATCAAACTTACAAGTTAAACTTATAAGTTTGACCGAAATCGGTGTATAAATAAATAAAAAAAAAATAATAATAAAAAAATCAATAAAAATACGATAATTTATTAGTTTCTTTGCATAATTAGAAAATAAATAATATACAAAGTGAGAAAAAGAAAAAAAAGTCTATATGATGAGGAGTGTAATGCCTCCATGTAAGTATGTACTTAAGTTATCCGTGATAAAGTGTATTCTTGTTACTCGCAAATCATAAAATTTTCGAAAATAATAATTAGAAAGTACCAGCTTTTTTTAAAATAAATGATTAATCGCCGTTTTTTATTTTCAATTTAAAATAATTGCTGTTTTAACCGACTTCCAAAAGTAGGAGGTTCTACGTTTGTCTGCTTGTATGTTTTTGACATAATATTTTTAATATAAATTTAGAAAGATGTTGATTGATTAAGACTTAATGAATAATGATATTATTGAAATTATACTTTTAAAAGTATTTCTTCCCTCGCGATTGGACTGGGATATTGCAATATGTATACGTTATTAATCCCGTCCTTTTTAAGTATTATTATTTTTATTTTAAATGATTAAGAAAATTTCGATATAATTTTTTAGATTGCACCAAAATGTATCGAGTCACTTTTGTCACCAAATAAATAAACTGAATTCACTTGTAAACTATTTACCCGACTGGGTCAGAAGAAGGGTTATTTTTTTCAAGTGTATTTCTGTATGTACATTTCTTTGGCACGCTCTGAAGCCTTAAACGGCAAGATTGATTGTAGCTGATGATGTGAGATGTGTCGTTATATTTGTCTTAATTGTGAGTGACACTGGGAGTATCAAAATTATAAAAATTAAAATTCTTGCTCCATTCGGAATCCGGTTTGTGAACAAAATATTGAAAACCTGAAGTTTTATCCAAGTTTTATGACAAAAAGTTTACTTTTTACAATAACCTCAAAGCTATTTTTACTAGACCAATAACTTTTGTAGGAAACATTTTTCGACAAAACTTCACAGTGAGCCGGAAATTGAAAAAACTATTTTTCAACGCTTTGCGTCACCCCATTTCTCGGGGGTAGCTAGGTATGTGGGACATTTTACGAATTTCTATTCCTTATATACCTGCTAACAGTTTTAAAATTAGAAAACTTCAGGTTTTCAATATATTCTCTTAAAAATAAACGGATTCCGATTGGTCTATTATATCTGTCTTCAAAATTATTATTTTTTTCTCAAAACCTTTCGGCGTTTTTTTTATTTAGTTTTTAATTTGTGATTATGGCTCACAAGTTCACAGTAAAATTATTATAGGTATTTGTAGTTTCAGTAACAAAGCTATGTCTCGACAATACCTTTAACTACAACGAAACTAAACTATGAATAATATAATGAGTGAATAATTTGGAATATTTTATGGAACATAGAAGTTTTAGACAATGTAGTTACCAATTTTTATAATAAGTAGTTATATTTTTAATTAAATAATGATAAAATTTTAATGCTAAATATTTGCCATCGTTTTTTTAACGGAGATGTATCTAAAGTACTGCAGAAAATATTTTTTAATTTTTAAGACTGCATTTATTGAATAATGATTAATCATTGATGATTCATGGTATTTTATTAATAGCTTTACTTTTGGCTCAAAACAAACTAGATTTTTAGATACCATTTTGTTCAATGTATCGCTGATTACGATTTTAAAATATTGTTGTTCTCAAGTGAACGTGAGATTACAGATTTTAAGAATACTCGGGTGATGTAGCGCGTTGGGATGCTGTGTAAGTTAATTAATTGCGTCGTTAATAATATGATTGTATATAAACTAATTGGTTATTTAAAATATAATTTTAATTAGAATCATAAATTCTTTTATTATTCCTCCCATTTTATATCCTTGCAATAATAGTCTTAATTTTACCCGACAGTTCTACTTTTATGTAATTTTGTAATTAATTCTAAGTAGTTAACATGTGTTTATCACATTTTGTTTATTATATTTTGTAAATTAATTTAAAAAAATACAAAAATCTCATTCACACACCAATATGAAAAAAAAAATTAGTGGCGCTGATTTTTGTAGTACAATACAACCAGAAGAATGATTGCATTTTCATAAATACAATAGTTAATTTCATTAACAAGTTTCATTGTTGTAAAAGTACAATAATATCGATATGTATATCAGATATTATCATATATCTATTTGTGCCAGTTCTATTCAGTTATATTAATGATTCAGACAAAACATTTTAACTGTGACGGAAATAATTAACAAAGGATTTTCACATCACAATAAAATAAAACAACAGAATAATATGAAATTCAATATTATTTCGTTATGCTTTTTAATAATACAATATATTTGCGTACCATACACTATCGGTAGTATAATAATTGATGACCAATCATTGAACAATGAAAAATGACATTCATCAATTTTCCTTTAACATCCGTTTTAATAAATAGCTGTATACAAAAAAAAAAGAAACAATAATTATTTACATAAGGCAGTAACGATACCACGCGAGTGTGCCTCGTCTTAATTTAGCTATACAAGCAGTACAAAACCAACACAAGTGTGTATGTCAAACGATCGCCCATCGTATTGTATAATATAGATCCAGTCAATTATAATCACTAAGGTACATATTACGAGTAAGCAAAGATTAGTTTGTGAATTTGTTATTTACTTACGATACAAGGCTGTCGAGGCGACTCCCGCGCTCGCGTGCATTCTGACGTTCGGATCGTATTCATCGGGCTTTTGGATATTAAAACTGGAACAACTATTATCCCGCGACATTCGGCGTCGAATGTTCATGTTAAAAATGTAAAAGCTACGCTACCGACTATACGCTACCACACTCGGTTGTAAAAACTGGGTTAAAATTGAGTATTATAACAAAAATGGCAGTGAATAAAACGCGCAAACGTCAAAATTGAGCCCGTCGCGATGGCGGAAGTAGCCAATATAGAATTATCTAGAACATTTCAAATAGCAGCCATTCAAACCGACACGCGTCCGTCTCACTATTAGATATGGCAACCGCACACAGTCCCCTGCATACATGCATATGAGCGCACCTCACACCGGTGTACAACTTAGAAAACAACAAAATGAACATCACTTGAGAATCTTCTTAGAAAAGTCAAAGACAGTAGAAGTGATTATTTATTATATTAAATATTAAAAAAAAAACATAAAGAATACAATTAAATGTCAGTTGTAATAATCGTATTTATTAAATAATAATACCTAAATTGAAAAGTACACGTTTGTACACGAGTGTGAGTCTTAACATAACGACTGGCCACTACTGAAAAAATAAAAATAAAGAAACACGGCTCTCCCCGAAAGTGCCACAAACACGCTTACATTAACAACCAGTATACGTCTGATACAACATCATAATATATCACATTTTGATCTGTAGAAAAAGTACTGCAACTTTCGTAAACAACCGCGAAACCGAAACTAAACGTTTAGTTGATACGTAGCCCACGTAACAAAACCGCCTCGGACCGTTCGCAACCCGCCACGTGGCCCGACTAGACTCGCATACAATATTAAAGCCAATGCGTTTACTAAAGCAATGATTACGCTAAAACACGTTAAAATTGAAAACGACGCCGTGAAGCCGAATAATAATAATAATAATTATGATATCTAACACTAGCCGGGCCGCGTCCGCCGCGCTGTACATTGTACATATGACACACGTTAGCCCTAACATTGCACCACGTCTTAGCCTCATAGATTAACTTATATAATCTGTGCTCCTAAGACTATGTAAATGCAGCCAACAACCTGATTAAAAAAATAAAACCGCCTTACACGCACTGACCGACATTGAAACTCGCTACGAAGCGTGACTGTAGACTTGGCTCGACTGCCGGCGACTAGATATCGTGTGTTCCTTTCAATCCAACCGATCACATATCAGCTTAGTCTGAGCGGACCTATCACGTTGCGTGTTGACGACGTCACACGTGTAGCGTGATAGGCGTGATACGACGTGATAGGACGGGGTGTCTATATGACGAGGGCCATGTCCTTTTTGCTGGGGAGCTGCACCTTCTTGCCCTGCCACAGGGAGTTGTGTATCGTGAAAGCGTCGATGGTGACCGTGAGGTGCTTCGTGTGCACTTGCGAGAAACATTTACTGCCCGAGTTGTATCTGGGAATGGAAAATGTATAAATGAAAAATTATACATTTTAGAAAATTATTTCAGTTATTACTATAAATTGATTAGATAAAAACAAAGTCAAGTCAGAAAATTAAATATAATTTTACATAAAATAGTATTTTCGATATTAGAAGAAATAAGAATTAAAAAGAATAAAAATGTCTAAGTTATTTTATTATATATATTAAATTATTTTTGCCTAAAATTTTAGCCCTACCAAGTAGCCTATGTGTCACTCCAGGCTATAGTGTATCTATGTACTAAATTTTATCGAAATCCATCCTGCCGTTTAACATAAAAGAGTAACCAACCATACACAAAAATACAAACAAACACACACACAAACTTTCTCATTCCCAATACCAACATCACACCAACACAGTATTACAACACTAACGTTGTACGGTTTCACGTATATTTTTAATCTTGCTTAGGTACTTTACGAAAATTATACTGTAACTTCAGTAATTAAAATACTTCAAATTTATAAGTAGTAGTAGATTGTGCACTCCAAACTCGTATAACAACTATATTGTACTGTTCTAACCGTGACGGTACAAACATAACGTTTGACGATACGTTTGGCTCAGTTTGTAGTGACGCTACTTGCTATGCCAGCGGTCGCGGGTTCGAGTCCCGCTGGAGGCATTCATTTGTGTGATGAGCACGAATGTTCGTACTCCAGTCATGGCTGTTTATATTTATAATATATATAAGTATTTAAAGTTATATATGTGTAGTGTATCAACTATCTGGTATCCATAACACAAGCCTCGTAGCTTACCATGGAACTAAATGGTGCTGTGTGTTAATGTCCTAACATATTTATTTATAACACTCACTTGAAAAACTTATCGAACATCCGATCATTGACGTGCTTGGGCCCGGTGCCGTACAGCTTGGCCACGGTGTCGGTGTCGGGGCAGTAGCTGTACAGCGCGCGGAACTGGCAGCCGGCGTCCCGGAACAGCACCAGGAAGTGCTTGCTCTCGGAGCGCGCGATCTCCTCCAGCACGCGGCGCTTCGCCTCCGCGTTGACGGCGCCCGGGAACACGCAGTACTCCACCGCGTTCAACATTATACCTCTATTAGACTTCGTCGCCGGTTGCTTGTACAGTCTCGGACCTGGTTTTAGAGATATATTGGTTACATTGCTTGAGCTAATTATGTTTTTCTTGTGTTGTGTGTCAACTAAAAGCGTCTTGTGAGAAGCTAAAATACGAATTCTATAATTTATAATTTTGTATTGTTATTAAAAAAATAATACTATAATCAAAGGTTCAAACATTATTTATAATTACAGCAACAATTTGTAATTAATTGATGGATAATCAAAGAAAATCTACAATAATAATCAATAATCGTGTATACTAAACCTATTATGATAATGATGCAATATAAATGTAGTGCCGTGATAGTGTTAATATCAAATCTGTGAGAAAGCGAATGTTAAGCGACGAGGGGCGAACTGTTAGAACACAAGAACAAAATGCTCTCATCAACTCTCAAACCATGCCTTAATATAACAATCGGTAGTTGGCATGACATCGCTAACTGATAGCACGTGACGGTGTGACGGAGTTACGGTGTTGTATGCACTCTCTATACTCGTGTGTAAGTAACTACAGTAGTAACGTTAACATAAACCTTTGCGTCGTTCTCGATAGGTTGCTTTAAGAAGTAAATTAAGTGTCTTATTAAATTAAATATTCATCTGTACATATATTACTTCCGACAAAACACTGTATTGTCTACTCACTTTTCTCGCATTTATTACGCTTGAAATTAATTAAAAAAATATATATCAAAAGTCTACACTACATTTCTCATTTTAACTGCCAACTTCAATCAAATCAAATTCAAAACTAAAAAAAACGTCATAACCTAAAAAAAATCTATACACTATTCACTAAACATAACCTATGACATACCATAGAGTATACTATAGTGACACAGAGTAACAACTCACCAGAGTAATCAGTACTGCAGTATGGTGACACAGAGTAACAACTCACCAGAGTAATCCATAATGGAGGAGTGCGTGGAGGAGACGTCGGAGCTGTCGTCGTGGCGGCGCTTGCCGATGCCGCCGGGCAGCGCGCCGGGCAGCGAGCCGGGGCCGGACGCGGGCGACGCCAGCGCGCGCAGGCCGGGCGACGCGGCGCGGCGCGGCGGCGTGGCGCGCCCCAGCCCCGAGTCTGTGTCACGCCATCTTGTCAACGTACTACACTACACCGCTTGCGGTGTACTGTTGCTTTTTTTTTGAAGCTTGACATTTTTCGACTTAGATGATTGGTTTTTTTTTTGTAAGCTTTTCAAAAATTGGCTTTGGAAGCGTATAAATGATATAAGCCGTCTGTATAGTCTGTAAGTGGATTGTGACTGGTAAGACACAATAAAATGAAGCCCAACAGTTTATTTATAAGTGCAAGTTCCTAAATTATGCTGCAATGCAAGCGACAACATAACATAATATTTTTTCTAATATTTGCAGTTTATATCTTTTACATATTAAGTTGTTAAAGTACTAAATTTATTAGTTTTCATCTTTAAGCTGCACCTAATCGAAAGCTGTTATATAAAAATATACATTTCAAATTCAATACTTACAGCAATTCCCTTGTAAAGACGAAATAAATAAAATTTTATGAGAAAAGGCTAAAGCTACAATAAAATTATTATAATAAAAACATGGGCATTCGTAGTACGGATATAATTCAAATATTGAAAACGAATGCGAAATGTAATAAAAAAAACTACAATTTTAATTTCGATAGAAGTTAAATTGAAAAAGATACTAAAAAATAAATTAAGTTTTTTTTAATCGGGCAACATTTTCAATGTGACTTACCAGGTTCCAATTTTGTTTCATTTACTTACTAGTATAACAACTGATTTGAACAGAATTATTATATATCATTCAGTTAACACAAGGTGTAATTGCTTCTGTGGTATTATTATAATTATAATACAAAAGAAATATGAAGAGGAACGTCTCAAGAAATAAAATTACAGATCGAAATGTTAGTTTTCCCAGTTAGTAGTAAGTAGGTTGTACAAACTAGCATAAAATTAAAATTAGCGACGACCAGTTATTTGAATTATCTATTACCTATGTACTTTAAATTTAACCATAAATTATAATAATACTTTCAAAATATACTTTCGGCATTGATGAAGTAAAAAAATAATAATAAAAATACATCTATTTCTACGACACAAAGCGTCCGGGAACATTGCAAGCCGATCGCAAAATAAACTTCAAAGGCACTAACTTATATGTTACAAAAAGCAACTGTCTTGCTTTTAATCTTATTTAAAGCATTTATACTTATATTTGTGAATATTAAGTATTAATTATAATGTACTAGTCCAGGGCCGAATTAACCATGTCGGGGGCCGCTAGGCAATGCAATTCTTGAGGCCCCTTCACCTTTTTTTAACTTATTGAAATATTTTTTTACCAAAATGCAATTATATTCGTAATTACGCTGTTAGATTTCATATAAATCTAACTGTTGTGTTTGTTCTCATGGTGGAATTTTCACATATTTTTTTAATTTTTAAAATTTCCACTCAATGAGACGTTCTCAATTTTTTTTTCTCGGTGCCCCTAACCGTTACACCTTATGGATAATTCGGCCATGTGTATTACATAAGACGTTTTTGTGTAATCGTTTTATTTTAAAGTTTCCATTAAGTATGTATTTTTTAAATCAAAATTGTGTATACAAATAAAAAAAAGTTGATTTTAATATGAAAAATATTTGTCACTTTTGGTACTTAGTTTGTGTATGCGATATGTATTCATGTAAAATATACCGCGTAAATACATATAGCTGTAATATATAAATAACATCTAATCGATTATACAAATCGATATTAACCGTCACTATACGAATAAGTTTAGCATAAATCATTTACATTCGACATAAAGAGGCGAAACGATGTCATACCAACACCAATAGAAATAAATTATAAATAGGGGCATGCAAGATAAGTATAAATAAACAATAACATACCTGAAATAAACCACAACCGTACAGCGATACAAAATGGCAACCTAACAAATAAAGTGTATGTGCACCACTACAGGGTCGCAGTAGGGGGATGTTCACACTAAGCTAGATACACTATTCGAATTGAACTCAAGTATTTTTTTCGTTATATAGTAAAGTTATTATTAATAATATTTCAGATTTATATTATAAATTAAAAAAAATGTTGATTCGATAATTCTAATAATAATCTATTATGCATATATTAGAGAACAGATTTTATAATTTCCCAAAAATATTTTTTTGTACATAGCTACCAAATTTTTAAACATTCAAACAATAATGATTTATTCTAAATTGACAATATAATTCGACAATTTCAAGTATGAAATAAACAACACAAAACATCACGAATGCCGCCTAATAAAATGAATGCCCACAATCCCCAAACATCCCCCTGCGTGCTGCAACGAAAAAAGAACCCAACGCACCAAAAGCAGGCCCGGCTACCGTGAGAAGCCTGTACTCGTGTGTAACAAACGTGTCTTACCGCACAGGTTCATAAGAGAGCTAGATTTCCTCCCCGCCTTAAAGTTATTCTGGTAAGTGGAATATTTAGACCTTCCACGAGTCGACTGTGGTTCGTCATTGACGCGCTCTGAAATGTTTCCCGCTCGTGTCAGCGCGCGCGCACGCACGCGTGCACACACGTCCGCACGCGTCCGCACGTGTCCGCACGCGTACGCACATGTCCGCACGTGTCCGCACGCGTGCGCGCGCGCTCGCCGCATGCACGCATGCGTCGGTCACTCGGCTCCATTATATATCGGCACATAGCAAACAAAAGTAACGACTCGCGGATACTATGTATATATCGACCATTCATTCAACTTTACATATGATGCTATTACTGGAACCAATTTTAATGCGCGGAAGGTCTAGGGGATTGTAAATTGGAGTAAGCTATTGGAACACCTCCGTCGTTTTAGTTCTGGTTTACAAACTAAATACGGCCAAAAAAAAGGATATATCAAGCGTAATTTTGCATTGGAGTGTATCTAGCCAATCTATGCAATGCTGAAATCGTACACATATAAAATAAATCATTAAAATATATTAATTAAAATATAAATAATAGAGGTTCAAGCGTCTACAAATAAAAATCAAAAAAAGCGTCTTTACCGACTAGGGTACTGAGCCATATGACCATCCTCAAACGTGTTTCATTCGTACACAAAAAATCAAAAGTATTATATCAAACGGTAATATGGTGCTGCAAATCATTTGCAAAACACGTATCACGTTACAACTTAAGGACTGAAAAATATTTATACGTATAAAACCTGCAGCTTTTATGATTACAATTCAAATATAATTATTAAATTAACGTTAAAATATTTTTGAGTCCTCTATAAATATCATGTTTATTCATCATCTCGTTATATAATTTATTTTGTATTTTGTTTTTATTATGATTAATTCATAAACTGAAAATGTAAGAAAAATATTTTCGTAAACGTAAAACGAGACGATAAAAATTAAATATAATGGATCTATTGGTAAGCGGCCATATTTTTTTTATGAATATATATTTATTAATATTTAATTACATTTCCCTTGATCTTTTTTAAATAAACATTACAAATAGATCCTTAAAACAGCAAAGCACTCTTTGTTAGTAGCGACAGCGAGAGCCCGGTGTTTGAAACGATCGATCGTGTCGTAATCGTATCGTATACTCTTAAATTTTTCTATATTTCAATTTCCAACCAATATTATTGTTCTTTCAAAGAAAATAATATCGATATGATTACGAGTGGTGTTTTAAAACATAAGGGGTAGGATATTTATGATGAATAATAAATAGATTTTTAAAGGATAATCGTAAACGTATGGAATAAGGTTGTACAAACGGAAAAGATTTTAGAAAGGATTTTGCAAAAGACAATATTTGTAGTAAAAATAACGTCTTAGCGTTTCAGAGTAAAGATCATATTTCATTACAATACTTGTAGGTAACAAAAGGAAAAGTAATATTTTGAGGAAGCAGTATAGGGAGTATAGAGGTAGGAGGTGTGGAGGAGTAGGGAGGGCCTCACCTCTGGAAGTCTTGCAGGAGCCGCGCCGCCCTAACGCGCCGCTGGACGCGCTGCTCGGGGACATACCGCCACGATCGTCTACCGGAGAATCTGTAAACACAAATCAATTATCTTATAAAATAAGTATTTATAAATATTATTTATAGTGTAACGTTAATAATAAGTATATAACTAGATATTTATATGAAATTTACAAAAACAAAAAGTATATTGTCGGGTGATTTCATAAACAGTCATAATGTACATTAATAAGCACTACAATCTAAAACAAGCTATGTACATGAAATCAAATGTGCAACACTAGCGCCATCAACAGCATAATATTAAGAAAAAAAACAAAAATAACAAAAAAAGATTATAAATACAAAAGTTTTATCATTTTTACGAGTTAGTGTTTGTTACTTCTTCACACAGTAACGACTCAAGGGATTTGATTGAAATTTTGCATAGAGGTAACTTACATACGTATCAAGATCGCGAGCAGAGCCGCGGGCATAGACTAGTATCGAAACAAAGACATGTATAGAACAAGCGAGAGCGACATACCTCTGTAGAGCGCGGCGCGCTCGGCCAGGTTGTCCTGCGAGCCGCGGTAGTAGTCGCGCCGCAAGGTGCCGCCTGCGCACGCACGACCGTACACTACGTACATACATACATACATACTGTGCTATTGCTCTCTCTGTCTTCCTACTGACTTTTGCTATTTATTTCATATTATCCACCGCCATTTCACATTTAAAGGTTTTTTTATATACATATCTTACATCACTAGTATATATACTACCCTTATTTCAATAGTTATATATTTTTGGAATGCAATGGACATCTCTTATTTATTGAAAAGAAAATTTTAACATACAGGAATGAAATATCTATAATGGCGGTATAATGTAGACATATTTGCAATAAACACAGTATACATGTGTGTAGAAACATTAAATAGCGGAAAACCAGCCGAAAATCAAAATATTTATAATGCTTGTAATACATATGACACATTAATATATTCGTAACAAAACGACTCAAAATGTTAGGTTATTTTAATTCTAATCTAGATCTTATCACAAGCACTATAATATAAAAACATTTATAGCAAAGCAGCATAAATGCCATATTAGAAAAAAAAAATCTCACAAAAAAATATATTAATAGGATATTTGAGCTGCTTTTAAGCTTATATACAATGTGCATAAAATTAAAAAAATATATATTTAAAAGTCTAAATTAGCCATAAAATAACAACTCACGTTGATTATAAAAACAGTAATAAATGTACGTGTAAAAAGTAACAATTCCTAGCCACAATAGATGCGAAAGAAATAGACATGTCATTTATTGTGTCATAAATAAAATATTTTTATTACAATATATCCAATATAAATAATCGGTGACCAGTAAAAAATGGTAGATTGTAAAAAATATAAATGATTTATTTTACAAAATTATAAGTTATTACTCGACGAGCATTTTATAAAAAGTCAATAAGACACTAATATGGTAAGAAACAAAACACATTTTTTTAATTTTTTGTGTCTGTTTGTTCCGAATAAACTCCGAAACAGGTGGACCGACTTTGAAAGGACTCCCACTGGTAGGTACTTGATGTTATAAGGAGCGACTTAGCCTAACTAACTTTTATTAAAAAAAAAAGAATTAGGGTTCCGCGCAAAAAAATTAAAACCCATAAAACTGAACAAAATCCACACACCCAGGGACGCACCCGAGCGAAACGAGGGTAAGTGGTTAGTATTCTTATATAAACGATACCTATATTCATGTATAAATCTAATCCCTAATTGAACTACATACTCGAATATGCATTCAGCCCTTTTTAACGTCCCACTGCTGGGTTTGGACCAACTTCAACACGAGGGAGATCAGGCCATAGTCCACTACGCTGGCCAAGTGCGGGTTGGCAAATTGGCCTACATACATACATATGAAATGAAATAGAAATGAAATTTATTTGAATTTAGTAACCAATTCTTATACGTATACAGTTAAAAACAATTGCTACGATGATACTGCAAAAGTTTAAACGCGATATCAACGCCCGCCTCCGTACAATATTTAAACTATTTTATAAAAACTGAATAACACTTTATGATAATGAATGATGTACGTGTGTGGATGTGCACGAGGATGTGTAAGGAGAAGCTCACCAGTGAGGTTGGTGGAGGAGGGCTGCTTGCTGATGATGCCCTCCGCGGCCTGCAGCGCGCCGCTGTCCACGTGTATGGTCTTGGGGCGCGCGCGCGCCGGCAGGCGGCCGCGCAGGCGCGGCGCCGGCGTGGCGGGCGCCGTGCCGCCGCGCGACAGCGTGTCTAGGAACTCGCTTTTGTCTAACACTTTGCCCTGGAATTGTTTGTGTTGTTATATGAATATCCTTCCTTTTTAACCTTTAGTTTTAACTTAATCTTTAACCTTTAGTTTTTAGTTTTAACGGTTGAATAGTAATGATAGTTCCGGACACGCTCGGGAAAAGTTCAGTTATTGAATTTTTCTAAGTAATTTTTCAGTAACAACCAGGAATTAGAAAAGTCTTCCCACTGGAGTATGCGAGTGACAGGAATAGAGTGCATACTTGTGTCATATATTTGATGGGATTGTGCGCCGTGGACGAAACTGGTTAAGAGGAAGAAGATAAAGCTTCATACATCAAATGTCTAAAGAGTAAAATGAAAGACAACTATTGAGTCTTAGCAGAAACAGAAATTAAGTCAGTCATAACAAGAACTAGCGAGCAATCTAACAACTTAATCATTGATTTTCAGATAGATTTATATATAGACATTAGAGTATAAAATGACGTGTGTCGGTGACAAAGGTCGCAGGTCGCACATACCTCGCGCTCCGCCTCCTCGATGGCCTTCTTCAGCTTGTACTGCGCCAGGATGGCCTGGCGGCGGCGCGCCTGCTCCTCCTTGCGCGCCGCCTTGGCCTCGGCCTCGCGCTCGTCGCGCGCGCGCCGCGCCGCCGCCGCCGCGTCCGCGCGCGCGCGCGCCTCGTCCGCGCGCTGCCGCCGCTGCAGCGACAGCAGCATTATACGCTCCTTCTTGCGCTCCATTTCCTCGGCCGAGTTCTGAAAGTTGTTCGTTATTATATATTAGACCTGTGCGTTCTCGTATCGATTTGCCCGAACTAGTTGTTTCTTATTACAATACAATATTCTATGTGAAAACTGTTTCTGTTATGGCAGCAATTTTATGGAACTCACTACCTGATTTTATGGCAATAAAAAAGATATAATGTATATATATATATATTATAAAATTTGAAATATGACATTTGGCATTCGATAGATAGTTTAATCGGACTATTATTATAAATACATGAGTAAGTGGGTGTATATGTGTTACTCCTTTACACTGGATGAAGTGGCTGGATGGATTGGTACGATAACACATAAGCTACCACGTTAGGCACCTAAGGATGCCCCCAAACATATTCAAAATTCAAATTCGATAGATAACTCTTTTTTATTAACTGAATGGAGATTCAAAATCAAGATAAATTCAATGAGAAATTAAAGTAAAAATATATTCATTCAATAAGCAAATTAACAACAAAAAACTTACAGGATCCAAATTTGATTCCCCAATAATAAGCGCAGCAGGTTCCGCGCTCGGGGGACGCATTCGTTCCCTCACCGGCGACTGTCGCCTCATTTCTCGTGGTTCCTCCCTCATCTCCTCCCGCATTGGTTCACTCCAGGTATTCTCTGGACTCCGTTCAGGACTTCCGTACTCAGCCCGCTCCTTTCTCGGCGAGCCACGTTTCGCCCTCAACGGAGGTTTTGGCCGCTTCGGTTGTTCGTTATCGAACGATATATAAAAACCTTTCTCGTTCGGCTCATTATCGAGTTGTTGGAACGAGTTAGCGAGAGAGGGTCTCGTCGGGGACGGGATTCGATACGTTCGGGTACCGGAGGAGATGTTCAGTCTGTTGATGCCCTGCCGGAGGGCGTCGTCTTCCGCGTTGCCTATGAAGGAGATGTTTTGAGGTTCCATATCTTCTGGGGCAGGTGGATGGTGGGGCGCTGGGTGGTGGCTGAGCTGGTGCAAAGCCACGGGTTCAGGACGCCGCGCCTCTGGCAGCGAGCCCTGCCTCTGCGGAGTCTTGGCCCTTCTCGGACTCGACAAGGGCGGTGACTGAGACGCGTATTGGTTGGGATTTATCACAGTGTAGCTGAGGTGGTTTTGGGTTTCTCTCACGTTCTCGGTACCGTTTTGGTAGCGATCCGTGTTGTAGTGTACTTGGAAGGGCTGGTTGTTCCTCTCGTGCAGGACGAAGCCTTGCGGGTTCCAGTTACGCTCAGGGGGAGGCTGGGGCGATGGGGCCTTCCACGTCCTTTGCGCTGGCTCGGGCGGTTGCTGTGGTTGCTGTTGGTACTGCTGCTGCTGGTTGTTTTGCTGATGCAACTGTAATTTTAGTTTTAATATTAATATTATTCAACGTGAAAATACACAACATAAACATTATATTTATTTTTTAAATGTCCCAACAAAAACCCTATTCGTTAAACATTTGAGATATCCCATAAGCAAAAGCTTGATTCATCCAGATTAATTCATCCAGACTGAATGGATAAATCAAAGGAGATATATCGAAACGTGCACGAAACAAAATTCCTCGGACTTCTTGGAATGATAATTAATATTCCCAAAAAAAAAAATATCTCCAAATTGCAAAATATTTATTTACATTATTATTTCGAGTCGAATAATGTATTCGTTGTAACTTCCAATATAAGCGACCTACCTGCCAGCCTCTCAACTCTGCGTTTTCCTGCTGCATCTGCGCATGCTGCGCCCACGTGCGGCGCTGCGGCTGAGCGGGAGCGTCGTGCAGGAAGAACTGCCGACTGAAATCCTGCTCTATATCCCTATATTGGAACTGGAAGTTTTGGTTCTGGACGTTCTGTTGCTGCATGTTGGTCGGTTGGTGCTGTTCGTAGTTGTAGAAGTCGCGCGGTAAGTGCGGCGTGGAGCCGAATGCGTTGCTCGGCCGCGATACGTTGTGCTGTGAGCTGAATTGGCTGTGCTGCAAGATATTGCCGGCGTGAATGTGCGCTCTCGCTTGCTTTATACAAGCTGTGGTGTTCATTTTGTTACGTCAATTTTATTTTTGCTATTTATATTAGTTGCTTAACTTATAGTAACAGATTAAACTATTAAGTGTTCATTTTATATGGTATTTGGGACATTGCTATTGGGGAAATTGCTATTTTAGTGCATAATTAAATATGCAATATTATAAAAAAAATAATTGATTAGGTTTGATAGAAAGCGCAAGGCGGCGACAGAAGAAGCTGTTCCCGCTCCGTGAATGAGTCACATATTCAAAGATTCTATAATTAAAATAACTTACCAATTGTGGAATGTTTTGTTGAAACTGTTGCTGGAAAGGAGACTGAGGTGGTTGTTGTTGGAATAATTGTTTCGCTTGCTGCTGCTGTTGTTGTAACTGTTGCTGTTGTTCCCGGATTTGTTGCTGCTGTTGTTGCAGCTGTTGCTGCAGCTGCTGGTGCTGTTGCTGCTGCTGCTGCTGTTGCTGCTGCTGTTGTAGCTGGCTTTGCTGACTGGCGAGCCGCGCGATGTCACTCTGGATATCCTGCAGGCTGGAGTTCATTCTGTAAATATTAGACTGGCTTTTGCGCAGGCTTCATTTCTCTACATCAAGACGAAACACCAAAGAAAAAAAAATTTGAAACATCAATGAAGCCTTTAATATTAATATGAGCATATAATAAAAATATAAGAACAAATAATAAACAAGAAAGGTAAGAATAAAATTACTAATTAATATGAAAAACTATTGCAAACTCACTTCGCAATAGATTGCTGATACTGCTCAAGCGCCACATTCTCCGCAGTCTGATTTGGCGCCTCGACGACCATGTCCTGCGTGATTGCAAACCATATATGAATGGATAATTACATTATCATAATTTATTATTAACTAGCAGTACTCGGGACTTCGCCCGCGTTCAAACTTCCGATGTAAGCGTCTGTTTTACAATAATGTATGGAAGTCTGTCCGATTTGTTGACATTTATGATTAATGCTCTGATTTCTTAGATGCATGGTTTGGATATAGCCTTCCTCAATAAACGGACAATTTAATGCAAAAAGATTTTTTAAATTGGATTAGTAGTTCCTGAGATTAGCTCGTTCAATCAAACGAAAAAACTGTGTCTCTTTATAATATTAGTATAGATAAGCTTTTGCCTGCAACTATTTATATACCTGCGCGTCTTGCGTCAACCTTATTTCATATAACACTGCCAAGTAGTAACTCGCTTAGTTTTTGAAAAACGTTTTCAAGTAAACTTGTAGGCTATAATCAAGAAAACTAAAGAATTCCATCCTGCTAACTACGAACGATGTATTTAATATTTTATCTTACTCGAGATGAAATATTAAAAACAAACATACCGACTTCAGAAAAGGAGGAGGTGTTATAATTGGTCAATATTTTATGTAACACACTTTCAAATTAATATTTATCGAGTTTGTTTGTTTGAACGCGCTAATCTCAGAATTACTAATTCAATTTGAAAAAAGATTAGTTTTTGTTTTTGTTAAGGAACGAACCCGAAGCGTAGCGAGGATAAGTTGCTAGTTTTATTACAAATATAGATAAATATTATTTGTAAAAAGTATAACTAATTAAACCTGTCGGAAATTTCCATAACATGAAATATGCATATCTCACATATTTGGTTATTTACTATGGGCACCTTTTAAAAACGTCATTCAACGTCAAGTGATGTGTAATCTACATGCGGTTTATTCACTGAATCATGCATGGTTATAAACAATAATACACATAACAGCGTAACATATTTTGATGAATGCCATGAGATGGAATCGCTAAGTAAAATGAAGAATTATTTAAAAAATCAAAAACTTAGTTTTAGACACTTTGTGGTTGTTGGTCGACCTATTATGGAGTATATATGGCTACGTCTAGTATATAAAGTTGGCGATATGTTAACTTTCAATGTATCCGGAAATGTTAGCATTGCATCAAAGGTCATATGACTCATTCTAAACATTTAATCACAATGAGTAAACAAAAACATTCTATTTAATAAGCGGGTTCAAATTCTAGCTAAATTTTCATTAATGAATCGCCTTTTTGAAAATAAGTAACACTTACTAAAATTATAATGAATAAAAAAATTGAGAGAAAACCTGGATTTCGAAAAGACTAAGTAAATTTCTAAAATCGTGTGGTGGTAAATTCGTTTGGTGCACAGCTGATATAAAAATTCACAAAGGTTTGTGCCCAGTAGTTGCTCAAAAAAACTTCTCTGATAGCAGAGTGGATCGTTGAAGTAATTTGTTTTAACAGACCTGCCGCTGGAGCGTCGCGGTTGAGTGCGTAAGCGATCTTGCGACGCCCCATTAAAACGGGGGAGGTTCCGTTGATTTTAAGTGGGTAACACTGGCTTTGCCGGCGAGTCCCACATAACCACCTGTGTAATACAGGTGGTATGCCTAAATGCATTTCCCAACGTTAAAGAAGACATACACATTAATTTATATTTGATAATTTCCACATAACAACAAACACATAAGCAAAACACAAACAACTAAGCTTTAAAGCTTAAAAACGAATTCGTAAGCTTAAATTATCTAGATAGTTGTATAACACTTCTAAGTCCCATCCCATGGCATCGCACACAGCTCACCTGCGGCTGGTCGGGCGGCGCGTCGTCGGCCGGCGTGCGCGCCTTGCCCTGCAACACCACCGTCACCGTCACGCAACACGCGGCATGCTCTACCGTATAGTACATACGCGTAGAGAATGGACTGAGCAATACTCCCGTCAAATTGACAACTCTCTAGAGAGAGAGAGAGAGAGAGAGAGAGAGAGAACGTACGGCCAATAGGTACCTGTCTTTTATTCCAATTTGTATTTTATATAGAACTAAATCTATATCTAATAAATCTTCATTAATCGTATTTCAATTAATACAGAAGACTTCTGGCCGCACATTCGTTTTGTCTCTGTCGTACTTTTCCGCCATTTTTAGCTGACGGCTGGCAAAGAAAAACTCAGTCCACTCTCTATGTTTATGCTAGAGTGTGCTTGCGTTACCCGTACAGATAAAGAATGGTACCAGATATGGCAATTTTGTAACAAAAAATTATTTTCCTAATGACATTAAAAAAATATTATATTTTGCTTATTTTTTATACCGACTTCAAAAAAAGAGGAGGTTCTCAATTCGTCGGAATCTTTTTTAAGATACAATAATAATTCTTAACTATCATTGAATTTCATTAAAGAAAACAATGCAATATATAATAATCATGGGCACTATTTAAATGCTATCTAAGCGGACTGGTGTGAGTAAGACGGCAATAGTTTAAGAACGAGAAATGAATACCATACTTTATCTGCACAAGGTATTTATTTTTTAATAATTTCTCCATTAAAAACGTGTATCAAGTACTATTAAGTGAATCGGTTTTCATTTGACTTTTTAATTATTGTTGTAACTAAAGTATAGTGGATCAGTCATATAATTTGCAGTCGTTGTGTATTTAGAAATTTTGTTAAATTTAACAAATTGCACACATGCTTCATTAGTGTTTGTTTACATCAACGTGCGATAAGTTACAAGTGATTAAAATTCCAAGTGAACTTCATGGGTCTATGTCATGAGACGTTATACATGGTGTTTGCGCCGCAAAATATTTATGAATTTATTGATAAACTTTGATATGGCGATATAAGAGAAGCTGTCTTATTCTACAAATAATGACTTTCTTCTATGCTAATATTAAAGCAAAATTTTGTTTAATCTACTTTATACGCATATTTGTAAGTAAAAAATTGTAAAAACTATTAACGTATGATTATTAAATTAAATTTGCAATATTTTAAATATATTCGAATGAAAGCTGATTAAGCATGAATCGAGACATTTGTACAACCGAAATGCTTTATAAATAAATTAAAAAAATAAATAAATAGAAACAGCTAAGTTGATAAAATCATCATTTGAATTCGGGCACTCACCAAAGAGGCCAACTGGTATTGCAAAAACGTATCCTAACAAAATAGAAAAATTATTTTACGTCTGCTCGTTTTGTTTCAATATAGTAAAGACACAGTTATCACATGAAAGTATTGTTGTGAGCCAAATTTCATAAATAAAATCATAATTAAAATATATTGAAAAAATTCTACACGTTTAACTTCAACAAAAATATTTTATATAATATTCAAAAGTACATTTCATATTATGAAATTTAACTCATCGTGTTTGTTAAAATGTAACATTTAAAGATTAAAAAAAACATAAAACAGTGTTTTCCAGTTTGGAGTAAATATTAAAATCCCTACGACATAAAAATTCAATAACAAATCAATAACATCTAACTACCACACTTAGCCCGCAACCTTAAACATCACACAATACCCCAAAACACATCCATTCAAATAAAAAATAACTGTAAAATATCGTATGTAACTAGAAGAACTTAAATGTAAACATGTTATTTTTATTATTTTGGAAGCCTAGTCAAATCCCGAGTCTCGCACCTTTGATATTTTCATATGCGATTCATTTCCAACATGATTACCACTTGACTTACGGTGAAAGAAAACATCATGAGGAAAACTGCATGTGTGAGAGAACCTAGCAAGTTATCGGAAGGCACGTAAAGTCCGCCAACTCGCACTTGGCCATTGGACTATGACCTGATCCCCTCCCCAATAGAACAGCACTCACCAGCGCTGGATTTGCACTGGGGCACTCGGGGCTAGTGCCCAGGGCGGCAAATTGTTAGGGGCGAGAAAATTCGGAGGGCAGAAAAAAAAATTCGCGTTATCGAATTTTATTTTTATTATTTTTCAAAAATATAATTATTAAAAAAATCAACTAGTGCCTACATTTTTTGAAAAATTTTAATCATATATAAAGTTAGCATTTTGAATTTATCAAAAATAATAATAATAAATATATAAAAAACAACTTTATCGAAACTTTATATCCATCAATTTGCAATTTCTGCAAGCGGAACTTGATTTATTTCAAAAATCATCTACATGTCATTCCGAATCAAATGACACCTCGTTCATATTTTTCCGAGATTGCTGAAAAAAAAATTGATCTAAAAGGTACTTGTTGACTAGACCTATTGGGCGGCATCTTTTAATATGCCCAGGGGCTGTGCTAAGGTTAAAAATCCGGCACTGAGACTCACCCTGGTGACGGCCTGCAGGAAGGCCTGCTGGCCGAGCTGCTGGCGCTGGCGGCTGACGGCCAGCTCCATGCGGCGCTTGTCCTGCTCGATGCGGCGCCGCTTCTCCTCCAGCTTCAGGCGGATGTTGTTGAGCTGCGCCGCCATCGCCTGCCCGTCGCCCTGGCGGTCCTCCAACGCCTCCGAGTCGTCGCCGTCTTTGTTCACATATCGTCATTATATAGCACTTTCCATTCATTTATATATAGACACATACTACATACATAAACTTTATACTATTTGCTGAACTTAAACAATATGTTATTTTCTTCTAATGTCAGAAAAATGCAAATTATTGTTTAAGTCGAGCAACCAATTCTAAGGGTCTAACACTTTGCGGTTCAGTAATAATTTTGTAACGCATTACATTACACACCTAGACATTTAAAACGAATTCCCACAACCAGTTAAAATGACCATAAACACTGCTTCAATCCAGCAACCAATAACAAACATTAAATTTTAATTAAAAAAATTACTTTGCACAAAAATAAAATGGGGGGTAAATAAATGAACTTATATTTTTTAAATAATAACATAAAACAACTAAATACGGTGAGATAAGAAGCAGTACTGACTGGGTTGGTCGTGTTGGAGGAAGTGCTGCTGCCAGGTGGTGGTGTTTGTGGCGGGGGTGCTGAACGACGTCTTGCGTCGCTCGCCCTCGCCTGCGCCTGCGCAAAGTACAATATGTATTGAATTATATTAAAAAAAAAGTCTTCTAAAAAAAGGAAAAGCTACACAAAAATAAAAATAAAAGAAAACATTTTCACGATAATACCACGGCAACAAAAAATTGTAATTTATTAAAATTACAATTACACGGAGTATTGTCAATAATAACTCTTTCCTTACAATATCACGGAACCATAATGTCACTAGTAAAATTATAATTTAACGGGTCTTACAATTTCCCGACGACATATTCACTTACAATACTTATAAAGAATAGTTGAATCGACATGGATACAGTCATTAATCTATCATGCAAACACTAATATAGACTGTCTATTTCTCAAGCATTATTAAAAAATACAACCCTTACAATTTCGTAAAGTCAACAAAAGTTACACTGCAAAAGATATCTAAAGTTCCTTTTATGTTAAAAGTTCTGTTTTATCGATTTTACGGGAATATGTGGTCAAAAAGCATTAACAAGCAGGTAACACTGACTGACGAACCAAAATTGTTAATTTGGCAATCAATATTTATAACCTGCGCGTGCGCATGTTTTACCTCTAAAGTTTACTGAAATTTTCATATCAAACTTTATAATAACAATTAAGTATGGTTTTGTATAAGTATTAACAATATGTATTGCTGTACGTCATTTTAATATTGAAATTGCTCTTATAACAGCTTCAATTAAAAAAAAATTAAAGTTATTTGAAAATTAATTACATTTTCCATAGTTTATGATTTATCCAAGAATTATTAAAGTCATAATAATAATCCACGAAGTATTTCACTACTAGATATGATTATCCAATTTCCAAAGATGAAATGTTTACATAGAAACCTTTTAATATTAAATACCGTCTTAACTTAAAAAATAAACTTAAAACCCCATAAAAAGCCCCTTTCATAATCACCAAAAAAGCAACTAACCCTGCTGATCTCCATTACTTCTGATTTTAGTCAAATCCGCAAAGCTGGTCTTAGTGACGTCTCCGTCTGGGGCGTCTCGGTCGTTGAGGAAGAACCCGTCGCCGCCGGCCTTGTTCGGGAAGGTCTCCGGGACCTGCGGCGCGGAGTGCTGGCGCTCTACCTTGTGGCGCTCTTCTTGGCCGTTCTGGTAGTCGCCGTGGAAGAACTGGATCGACCCTCGGATGTCCTGTCTCGATGATCGAAGCGGCGGGTTCAGGTCTAGTGGACCTGTTTATGTTGTGTTTATTTTGTTTACTATAATGAACTTTCGATAACAGGACTTACCTAACTATAGAGACAAGTAGAGTCAGGTCCAACCAACCTCGAAAATTTATTTTTAAAATTGCAAATTCAATTTTTCTAACCTTCAATAACATTTAGCAAAAATAAAAGAAAATATTTATATTGTATAATATTGACATATTGCTAATATTGCAATAACTTTCTTTAAAAGTTAAATCCTCCTCAATCCTCATCCTCAATTCTTACGAAAAAAAAAAACTAAGGGTCTAAAGTCTAAACACACTAACTATATTTCATAAACGTACCGACGACGCACGAATCACGAACATACGATGCCTACGTATATTGTACTATAAAAAAAACACAGGTTGCTTGCATGATATATGCAAATTTTTAATGATGATGCATCGATCAAAAAAGTAGTAGATACGCAATCCCATGCAAGAGTTCCCTTAAAACTGTCACCAATTGTGATAAGATAATTATTTTAGTCGAAATAAATATACAACAATGTACACTGAACCTTAAATATAATGCTTACGGTAGTTTTTACAAAAAAACTAAAACCACGCTCAAATGTTTAAACGAACGCTCATTCGACGCGGACATTATTTGTCGCTGATTGTGTATCTAGTACATACTCTTTTGATCGACGTATTGATGATATCAGTAGTGTGCACAACCCTAAAGCATATAAGCCAGCACAACGTACCAGCGGGTGCGGATATCTTCCTAACATTGGCCACAGTGGCCAGCTCCTTCTCCGGGTTCCTGCCGGCGAAGTGCAGGCGGTCCTGCGAGCCGCCGAAGTTCTCCACCGTGAGCTGGCTGTCGTCGGTGACGGAGGAGCGCCGCGAGCGCCGCCCCGCGAAGCTGCCCTCGCGCGACTCCGCCCAGTTCGACGGCCGCCCCGCCGCTGTTACGTTCTCTGGGAACACTGGACAATAATATCTTATTTTATTGCATGTTGAATGTAGTCATGTCACATTTTGTATGTTGAATAGGAATAATGAATTAAGTTTAAAGTATTTGTTAAAGAGTGAATATCCTTGTGTTTAATAACTACATCTATTTCTAATATGTCATTATTAGTATTTGAAATGATTTTTATTTTTGTGGGTCTAACAGTTCGATATGATAGAGCGGTTTAATTCGTCGTGGTCGATATAATGCAATATATCTAATGAACTATCAATACTGCGCTAAAAATTACAGATTACATGTGCATTTTAGCCACTTTATTTTTAAAACCGTTAGCCAAATTTTAAAACCGTCATCTAAATCGATATATCCCGCTGAAAGAAATATAAGGAATATTTCATTTCCACGGGATCACTTATTTAACAACGAAATTTACATGTCTATACAATTAAACAGTTATAAGTCATAAAAACCAACATACTCTCATCATCCCGCCTCGCCATAGCGGACAGCGTGGTGATAGCCTTCCGGCTGTGCACCACGAACTCCTCGCGCTGCGGACTGCAGCTGCGGCGCTCGGGCGTGGAGCACGCCGAGCGGCTGGCCGGCCCGCGCGCCCGCACGCCGCACGCGGACGGCGACCGCGACACTGGAGTGTCGACCGTAGGTATATTATAATACAGTGTAGTATTGAACGTAGTATTCTATACGAATTGTGTTTTTGCCTTCATTGAATTTTGAACTATATACCAACCTAATAGAGTTTAATATTTAATAACGATTTTATTTTGATTAACTGAAATTGTGTGACAAAGTAATAGTTTACTATTTTAGTGCAGCAAAGTACTGAATACTCGATACGGAAATATAAACCGTACGCCATTACAATACGGTATAGTATTGTTATATAATAAGAATGGATAATACTTTCTTAGATTTACGCGAATGTTTGACATTATTAAATAAAACTATCTTTTCGGATTATTTCGCGGATTTATTTTGATTTTTGGTTCCCGACGTTTCGAATGCTTTACAGCATCCATGGTCACGGGAGAGACTGAGGTGTTACATGTCTTAAAGATATAGTTGTTACAGACAGCCTACCCACAATTAACAAAATGAAAATTGCACCAATTACATTACAATATTTTTAACTTTAAACATTTTTTATAATTTTAATTATAATTGAATATGGAAAATTATTTATTTAATTTTTGCTATTATTTTTATAATTATTACAATTTTAAAAATATTAATTAGTAATCTATATTTAGTGTTGCCATTATTATATTTATTACCATAAATAAAAAATATAAAAATATAGTATTAATTATTAAAGCCATATAATTGTTCTATGTGTAATTTAAAAAGTTAAAATTAATTACGGATAATCATTTTAATTTAGTTTGCTATTATTTAAAAACAACTTACTAAGCAACACTATTAATATATACTTTTACAAATAAAAAATATTAATCTGATAAGCTGTCATTTTGATCTACACAGTATGAACTTACTACATCTGCCCTGTTATGTTTATATTTATTATTTGATTTTATTATATTAATAACAGGATCCCATGACGATGGTAGTACCCAGCCATCTTCCCTATTGAAATTTGGATGTTTTTGAAGAACCTACGCAATAGGTCAGACATCACCGCTCTACGCGCAGACAAAGGAAATGCAACCGTTGTGATAGATACATCAGATTATAATGATAAAATAAAACAACTTTTGTCGGACGAGAGCACGTACAAAAAGGTTAAAACGGATCCAACTACCACCGTTTTAAATAATACTAAAAAGCTAATTAAGGAACACTCCGACACATTAAATCTTGATGTTAAAAATCTTATTCCATCATGTGCAAAACCACCTAAGTTGTATGGACTTCCGAAAATACACAAGACTAACGCTCCGCTACGTCCAATTGTGAGTCAAATCGACTCACCGACTTACAAATTGGCTAAACTAGTAGCAAAAGTACTCTCACCACTCAGAGGATTAACAAGAGCGTTCACAAAGGACTCTTACCATTTTGTCAATGAAGTTAAACACCTAAAACTCATGGACAATGAAACAATGGTTAGTTTCGATGTACAGTCTTTATTTACCAGCCTACCAGTGGAAGACTGTATTGAAATAATATCTAGGAAGCTACTAGATCACAACATGTCAATAGAATACATTGAACTTTTAAAACACTGCCTAACATCCGGCTATCTACTGTGGAATGGTGAATTCTACAGGCAAGTGGATGGAGTGGCCATGGGTTCGCCAGTCTCCCCCGTCGTAGCCGACATCTTCATGGAGGACTTCGAGGAGACTGCTCTGAACACATCACCCGTGACCCCTCGTTTCTACAAGCGGTATGTAGATTACACTTTTACAATATTACCATCTGATAAAATAACTGTATTCTTAGAACACCTTAATTCTATAAATCCTAAAATTCAATTTACAATGGAATTAGAATCGGACAAAACCTTAGCTTTCCTAGATGTATTAGTTAAACGTAACCCAGATAACACCTTGAGTCATACTGTGTATAGAAAGAAGACCCATACTGATAGGTACCTGAACGGTGAATCTCACCACCATCCTTCACAGTTAGCTACCGTGGGAAAATCTCTGTTTCAGAGAGCGCGCGGGATCTGTGACGAGCAACACCTGGCCGGAGAACTGCAACATGTCAAGCAAGTTCTGCGTGACAACAAGCTGCAAGTGCCGCGCCTACGTCACAGTGACCGAGTGAAACCAGCCACAGTCGAGCGCGTCCCTGCAGTCTTGCCATACATGAAAGGAGTCACTGACAAGATTGGCTACATTCTAAAGCGAGCTTCAATTAAAACTTACTTCAAGCCGCCAAAGAAAATTAGTCAGTTCTTACCACCTGTCAAGTGCCACATCCCTCTACAAGATGCAGGAGTCTACAAGCTTGATTGTGATTGTGGGCTCTCTGACATTGGACAAACAAAGCGATCCATTAGAACCCGGGTCAAAGAACACATAGCTGATGTGAAGCACCGTCGCAATACAACATCTGCTGTCTGCAAACACAGTCAGGACCGCCCAAGCCATTATATTCGTTTCGATAGACCTCAAATTCTGGCGAAAGAAAACCGATATCGCCCTAGAATGATTCGAGAAGCCATAGAAAATAAAAAACATCCAAATTTCAATAGGGAAGATGGCTGGGTACTACCATCGTCATGGGATCCTGTTATTAATATAATAAAATCAAATAATAAATATAAACATAACAGACAGGCAGATGTAGTAAGTTCATACTGTGTAGATCAAAATGACAGCTTATCAGATTAATATTTTTCATTTGTAAAAGTATATATTAATAGTGTTGCTTAGTAAGTTGTTTTTAAATAATAGCAAACTAAATTAAAATGATTATCCGTAATTAATTTTAACTTTTTAAATTACACATAGAACAATTATATGGCTTTAATAATTAATACTATATTTTTATATTTTTTATTTATGGTTATAAATATAATAGTGGCAACACTAAATATAGATTACTAATTAATATTTTTAAAATTGTAATAATTATAAAAATAATAGCAAAAATTAAATAAATAATTTTCCATATTCAATTATAATTAAAATTATAAAAAATGTTTAAAGTTAAAAATATTGTAATGTAATTGGTGCAATTTTCATTTTGTTAATTGTGGGTAGGCTGTCTGTAACAACTATATCTTTAAGACATGTAACACCTCAGTCTCTCCCGTGACCATGGATGCTGTAAAGCATTCGAAACGTCGGGAACCAAAAATCAAAATAAATCCGCGAAATAATCCGAAAAGATAGTTTTATTTAATAATAAGAATTGAGTTTTTCTTTTCATGGAATTTAAACTGTATGTTAAAATTGTAGAGTTTAATATTGAATATCGGATTTGCTATTTAGTGAAATTTACTAATTTAAAAAGTCATAGCCAAACAATATATGTACTCAATATTAGCGTTTTCCTTTTTTACTACACTAAAACATCTTTAACTCAATAACTCAATCATATTCTAAATTACACTATGAAATAATTTTTAAAATACTGACTTATGTTTCATAATGATATATAAACAATAAACATGTTAAATTCAGGACGTAAGATTATTACAACAGGTAAACGAAAATACAACGCCCTATATTCTAAGGGGACTTAAGACATGAACTAAAATTCACAACTACTAAGCAAATGGCTAAAAACAAAACACTAGATACAACATAATTAGCTAAAAAAAAAACACAACGGAAAACATCTCGACACTCACCAAAGTTTTCGAGGCTGTCTAAAAATTGACAAACATAAAATCAATATAGAGTGATCTATATTACTAAAAAAAAACTATCCAGTTCTTTAAGATGGTACAATTACTTCTAAAATTGACATATAATATACATATATGTATGAATACATTTTTGTACTCGTGGGAGTCTTGGGGACATAACGTCATTGACTCCATGCCTGTCGTCTAGAGTGCTCCAAAGCGTTATAAAGGCTGAAAGCATTTAACATGCGAAGCTCCACTCATATTGAGCTAAATGCGACACATTCATTGTTAGAAAGCAGGTTATATAAGCGTATATTTTAAAATAATAATAAAGGCTTATATTCCAAAAAAAAAAACTAAAAAAAAACATAATATCTAATAATTTAATTGAAGAGAAATCATGTCCCAGCTACTGTCTTTGGTTTAAACAAATTTATTTTTTAATGTACACTCACACACGACACACAAATGGTTTTGGTGATAAATGAATTTTGGAGAAGGCAATCGGGCATTTTAATAGTTCGGTAATAAATTAAAAATGAGTTAGAAGATTTTAAAAAAGGTTAAAATTTAAGTCTTTCATGGTAAAAGGATACGAACAACATTTTTGCATTAGGTACTTTGCCTGTAAATTGTACTTGAAAAAAATAAAGAGTAAAAAGGGGGATTGAATAGTGTTTTCAAATATTGATGCTATAAAAGTTAGGGAACGAAGACTATACGTATAATAAATAAAAATGAGTTTTGCCTCCTCCATAGATTATGCGCGAGTGTCGGTGTACCTGCGAAGGGCTGCGCGTGCGCGGCGTGCGCGGCGTGGGGCGGCGCGGGCGCGGCGCGCAGCTCGGGGATGGCGGCGGGCGGCGGCGGCGGCAGGCAGCGCCTGTGCCGCACGCCGTGCGCGTTGCTCTCGCCGCCGCGCGCTACACACGCAACGCACACGTGCCTACACTACCGCGCCGCACACACACAACGCGGTGTGATACTGTCACGGTCACACCCACTCCCCCCTCCCCACCAAACATCTATTTTTACCCCTTTTTTCTTCAATTATTTGTATTACATCCCTTAACACCACAGTATGTTTACGTTCTACCACGCCGCACACACCGCGGGTGGTACTGTCACGGTCACCCCCCCCCCACCTTCCCCCTAACCCCCCCCCCCCTTTCTTCTCCCCCCAAACATCAATTTTGTCCTTCAATTATTTTTATTCCATCCCTTTACACCACTGTATTATGCCATGGTAATATCATGGTTCCCCTTTAACCCCCATTTTTAATTCTAATTTTTCATTTATATTACTTCTCGTATATTGATAAATTATGTGCGTTCAACCCTGATGTTGTCCAACGCGTTTACAAACGCAGGTGTTAACAATATATGTATATTGTATCAAATTTTGAATGAATTATTTTTAATAAAACCAAATTCAACAGCCAATTAGTAATAAATATAATCAGTAAGTTAAGCGTGTCATTCGGTTAATAGTTCATCATTGTAATAAAAACCTTACAATATAATAAAATCACATACTTACCTCCGCTTACGCTTAAATAACAAATATAAATAATAATAACAATAATGGAAAAAAATGAGTGAAACCACAGTGAACTTAAATTTGCTTCCATTCAGTTCGAAATAAATACATTCCCAATAACATATGATAAGCCCCATCATAGACTAAATAACGTATGCGTTACAAAAGCATTACTTCATCGCGTCCACGTAAACTATGTCAGTAATAGTGGGCATAGGACCTTTGATATTATGACCACATACTCCCATTGATTTCTAGCATGCAATATTGGTACATGTTAATATGGTAATAAGAAGGAAAATCGCTTGCACGCACCACTTCCAGGGTACTTCACCGCTTTGACGGGGTGTACTTCGAGCATGTTGAACAGGTCCGCTAACATTGCTATTAAATTTTGACGCATCGACCTGAAACATTATACGATAAAATTTAAAGAATGCGTATTAATTATGTAAAAGCAATAAAATAAACTGGTATCTATTGCATCGATGTTGATATGTGTTAATGGGTATTGGATTTGAATTCCATTTGAATACATTTGTCCCAATGAATATTATATAAACACTCAAGTTGTTTAAAAAAAGTTAAACTATAAAATCAAGTTTAGTTTTTAATTAAATACGTTTTTTAGTAATAAAATTAAACAACTCTTACACAACCCATTCAAAATAGTAATATTATCATTATTTTTTTTTAGCTGGCAATATAAACAACAAAGGCTATTCATTTCAAAGTCCACAACAAACATAGCCCATCCTTAACGTTAATAAAACAGATGCACCAACCCTCGCATATAGGTAACATCCTCCGGCAGCATATGGAACACGTTATGCGGCAGGCAGTTCTGGCAGAAGTCGTACACCATCATGATGTTGTGCAAGCAGTCTTGTATAGAGGACATGCGGCCGACGCGCACGGCGGAGCGCGGCAACACGTCAGGGCAGTAGAACGAGATGAGAGCCGCTAATGCCGTGCCGTCGCATAGCTCTTGGAGATTTTTCACCATCGGCACTAGTGATGATGAGTTCTCCTGAAATTTGATAAAGTACGACGTTTTATAATGTTAGCTCTGTTACGACGAAACGTCTCGATGAAAATTGAAAAACATCTCTGAGACATAACTGGTTTGTCAATACAGATTTGGTCAGCGATAAACTATGACCTTATCGCCCTCATATTAAGAGGAGAACCGTGATCAGCAATGGGACGTTTTTTTTTTAATCTATTTTTATTTAGGCACTTCTTAGCAACAGAGCTAAATGCCAGTCCCATCGTTCCCTTAAGACATGTATACCGCTAATAATACTAGTGAAAACGTATAATTATAACTTATTTTAACTTAAAGTGATATACAGTTTTGGCTATCTCTGAGTTAGGTTTAGACAGTGCGCTTTGAAAAACTCCCACATTCCAGCAAACGTTAAAACGGCGCATCAACTCCTGTCTCCTATCAGCGTTACGAACGCATTCCACTAAGAAATGATGCACATCTTCCTCTACACCGCATAAATTACAATTTGGAGAATTAGATTTTTTCATTAGAAACATAAATCTGTTAAGTGGAATGTGTCCCGAACGCAGCCTAAGAGCCATAACAATTTGTTGACGCGTCAAGCCTGACTCGCAGAACCACGGGTTTTCGTCGGCTCCTCTTAGTAAAAATGCTTTCCGTATATACTGATATTTAAAAAAAATCTAAAAACGATGATTCCTGAATACTTGTCAAAATCCATTTGAATAAAGTATATTCTGATTTTATTATTATCGCCATAACCTATTAAATATCTATAGTTATATCTAAGTATACAATATACATACCTCAGCCTTATTAAGCGCAGCGCAAGCCGCATTGATCCAACAAAGCAGCCCGTCCTCGTGGGGTATACTTGAGCCGACGGGTAAGGGCTGACTCGTGCCGAACCGCTGTGTCGCCGCCGACACGCGGTCCAACGTGACCACCTCCCGCGCGTACAGCGCCATCACAGCTTCTATCACAGCTAAGTGCGCGCTCTGTGGAGATGATTAGTTTCAAGTTAGTTTCCTCTTACTTTAATATTTTCTTAGATTTACGCGAGTATTTGACATTTTAAATAAAAATATCTTTTCGGATTTTATCGCGGATCTACTTTGATTTTTGGTTTCCACAATCATGGTCACAGGCAGTCTGCCTTTTAAAATAAATATCAGAAAATATCCTTTTACTTTTTCGTAATGACTATAGCTCGAGCTACCTGCAGCTGTGCATATGTATGTATTTCCACTTGGTCTACAGCCATTACACTTAACCGCTACTTTATATGGAAGGACAAGCTATTCCGTTGAACGTGAAAAATCGAAATGAAAGTTACTACTACTATTTTATTAAATTCACCGACATAATAAAAATTACATTAAAATCAGTCTAGCCGATGTCGAAACATGAACGAATAAACATAAAAAATTCTAATAACAATTCATTATTGATTGATTCGATTAAAACTTAAACAAATATCGACACTTAATATTCAGTGCACACCACATTTTATTACATTAGAAAGTTTTTCTCTTTTGTTGCCATCTGTTACTTTAGTCTACGTCGTTCAACAACAAATCGATTTTGGCACCAACATTGTTTGAAAGGCAAGAGGTTACGTATGCATCATTTTCTTATAGAAAAATAATTTAGTCGTTATTGAATTTGTCAACTCTGGAACCGTTCAGTTTAGCAAGATTATGCACGGAACCATTTTTGTTCACAATTTATTGTAGATTATTTTTGTACATATATACGACACTTTTTGCGCTAAACCAAATAATTTTCGAAATTTTTAAGAAAAACTGATAAAAACTACTGATCTACCAACTTATAACCCCCTCCCACCCCAAACCTGACGCTCAAAATAGTGTAAGTTTTTACCAAACAATATGTGGACTGTATAGAACAATTTGGAGCTGGAGGGAAACTTTTACTTTGGATGTTGAGTTGAGCTGTTTTTTAGACTAATTGCACTGTACTATTAATATTGGTTAATTCAAAGCCATAAATATTGTAAAGGTTAAACCAATTCATGGTCGATTAGAGAGTTTAGCCGCAATGAAGTATTTTCTTCTCACAAACGCCCACGCCGATGAAGTCACAATCAAAAGCAGGTTATAAATAAATCACAAATCAATTTGCTATAGCATCATCAATCACGTGTACGGGACTGAAATCTTAATCCAATAAATGACATATGTGGAACAAATGTAACTGTTTGTATATAAAGTAGCGTTACGACTTCGCCTGCACTTGGCACGAATTGCCTGCAATCTCTTATGTCACAGACGGCCTACGAACATCCACACAAAATTGTCTATAGATAAGCATAAACACAGTTATGATAGCATCTAAACGCGAAATGACTTTCATGGAAAGGCCAAATTCATTCAAAATTACCACGTGGGCAAATTATTTCATTTATAAATTATCTATCATACTGTGTGGGATCAATCTGTGTGTTGTGAATTGAAATGTTTATTAAGTTTCTTAATATTAAATTATTTAAATATTAGCGACGAAGGCGTAGCAGCTCAGTTTGGCAAGTATCTGATTAGCACTACCTAAAACGCCAGAAGACACGAGGTCGATTTTCTAGATAATAAATCTGTTTGTAAGCTATTACTTCTGTAATGACGCTGATTTTTAACGCAGTGTTAGAAACAAATAAGATGAAACAAAATTGACTACCATTATAAATGCAAAAGTTTGTATCTGCGTGTGTATGTTTGTTACTGCTCGACACTAAAACAACTGGACAGATTTGGATGAAATTTTGTACACATATAATCTGTCTGGGTACTCTTAGGTACTTAACGACGTAAGTAGTAATAGTAAAATATAAAATTATACCATTTTGAGCGGATTGGTCTGTATAAGAACAGTCTCCGTGAGCGCGCAGTCGGGCGGGTCGGGCACCTGTACGCCCTTCCGTGTCAGCGTCTGCAGGATGTTCCAGTGGTTGAGGTTGTGGTAGTTGGGGTCCGAGTACATGTTGGCCAACGCGAGGCAATACAGCTCCGCGTTGGCCAGCCCGCCCACGATCGGCGGTTTCAAGTGCTCCTGGTCCTGGAAATTAAATGTTATGGTTATTTTTAACAATTTATTTAATTTGTAACATATAAATTAAAATATAATACTGTTCGTTGGTTCGCTTTACTTGAAGATGGCTGAATCGATTATTTATTTTAAAATGTTCGTAATAGTCCGGATAGGGTTTTAAGGGGAAAATCTTAGAAAAATTGTTTGAAAAACAAATTGATTAAAATTTAGATATGACGACTTTTGAATCAACTCATTCTTAAGGAATATGACTAAGCAAACAAATAATAAATTATAAAGTACAAAGGGACTAACGTAATAATCTTAACAATGACATCCAACCATAAAATATACCTATAGTTGGTAATATCTATCAGTAAAGTAATATACCCTATCAATGGCAAATCGCCACTTTCTATATAACTCCTATGCACTGTTAACGGAACTTAGATAGCTTTTCACAGACTCAAACATAGATACAGTCAAGGCTTAGCAAATTGATTTAATCTTGGATTTGAAATGAAACCTTTTATATTCTGAAACTTCACCGATAGATTAACTAAAATAGAACGCATTTAAGTATTTTATCCAACAGTAAGTCGTACGATGTATTAAAAAAAAAATCTTTATAATCTATACTAATATATAAAACTAAAGTGTTTTGTTTATTTGTTTAAACGCGCTAATCTCAGGATCTAACATAAAAAAAAACTAGTTTATAGTCCATTTATTAAAAGTTTCACGTTACGACCATTAAATTATCATAAGACGACGTGGGCAGAGCTGCTCGCAAGAGCTAGTGCAGTATAATAACTTCATAATAAGACAGCTTGTACAGTACATCGCAACGTATACTTTGACATAAAGATCCCCAAACAAGTCAAAAAATATTATGCATATTGCATATAGAATAATTATCTCTGGACAGTTATTACCACTAATTCTGAGGATTTTGGACTAACACATGCCGCGATAAAGGTATATGATGATGTGATAATTTGCAAGGTGTGACTGGTGTTGCGTCACAGACTTAGGAGCGCTGGCTAACCTTGCTGGTCGGGTGTGGTCGGGCATGCCGTGTCAACATTTATAAAAACAAATATTTATTTTATTTAAACATCCTACTATTGTTAAGTTATACAAAAGGTTATCATAGTTGTGTCACACATGAAAACTTCAATATTTTGATGCTCGCAGCTCCAATATTCTAAACTTAACACAACACACAACACTTTATGCAAACGTATTATGAGAATACATAATAATTATTATAGCACTGTAAATGGGTTTAAAATTGCTTGCAATTAACTCTTAGTCATATCAGATAAATGCGACATATTTGCTTAACCCTCTGACGAAATCTATTTACCTGTTTCCATCCATACTAATCTATAATAATATTATAAAGAGGTGAAGTGTGTGAATTGTGGGTTTGTGACGTTGTAGGGGGTAATCTCTGGATCTACAGAAGTGATTTAGATGAAATTTGCTAAGAAGATAGTTTGAGACCCTGGGAAGAACATAGGATACTTTAACTTACTTTTTATCCCGGAAATCATCCCTTAAAGGGGTGAAAATGGGGATGAAAGTTTGTATAGGGAATCAACCTAGGGACGAACCCGAGCGAAGCGAGGGCGAGTCGCTAGTATTACAAATGCGAAAGTAACTCTGTGTGTTTGTTACCTTTTGACGACTAAATGGCTGAACCGATTAAGATGAAAATTAGTAGGAAGATAGTTTGAGACCGTGGGAAGGACATAGGATAGCTTTTACTCCGTAAATCATCCACGGAGGATCAATTAAGTAAAGGATATAAAACTCATTATACCTACACAATATGTATACAATCTATTCCATACTAACCGTCAAAACTACGTAAAATAGTGATGCGATCTCAAAATATTTCTAAAATAAATTGAAGAAAAACAACAGAAAGGTCTATGTTCGATAGAATAATAATTATACAAAATACACTTAGGTACAGTTCAAAAACGGGATTTTTACTTTTTCCATTGAATCAAAGAAAGCTGACCACACCGGTGCGATAAATAACATAGCCGAAGCAAGTTTATTCAAAATTACGAGTTACAACATCACATTATCATCTCATTGACCATGACGTGGTAAACTCTATCGTGTGAATATTGGTCATTGACCATAAAAGGCGACCTGGTAGCTCTCACTTTTGCTATAAAATAAAATGCGTATAATTTGTGACTACAATTGTACTTAACTAACTTAAAAAGTTATCATCTATACTAGTTTATACTAATATTATAAAGAGGCAGAATGTGTTTGCTTGAACGCGCTAATCTCAGGAACTACTAATCCAATTTGAAAAATTCTTTTTGCATTAGATAGACCGTTTATGGAGGAAGGCTATCTACTCGTATATACATATATATCATCAAGTTACTACACAAGGCCTCTCTCTTGCTCCCTCTCTGTCTGCTCGTTTTGGTAGCAGTAAATATAAATGTCAACAAATCAGCCAAACTTAACCATATATTATTGTAAAACTATATACGTATATTATATATATACATAGGGACGAAAAGAGACGTCGCTAGTCTCTGTCATATACAAATACGTTTTCATTATCTGGTCTAACTAGCAATAGATAAGTAGGTTTTGATTTATACAATTGTCAAATCTTTATAATAGATAATTATTTACGATGTCTACTAGATATAGCGAATCCATACAAACGCTTTCACTTGCGATACAAACAAAGAGAAAATTATTGTTTAAGACCTCCGATCTTCAGAAAATCCAGGCAACGTCCAAATTGTACCGGAGGTAGAGGCAGACATTTGTAAGTTAAAGACACATTTTTATATTACATAATATCTAGTCGAACTGGCACCCTCTAAGGTTGAAAATAATATACCACACTCGTTTCCGACGTTTTTCAAGTACTTAACTAACTTGTTATGTAAATATGACTTATAATTATTTAAGGTTTTTTCCGTTTGTCAATGTGTCAATATTAAGTATTTTTTCACATATAAAATTCTCACATATTTTTGGGAAAATCTTATTGAAATAGTCATTATTATCTGTCTATCTGTCTGCCTGGAAACGCATCACGGGAATACCACTGGACAGATTTTGATGAAATTTGGTATAAAAATAAAAAATATTATAATGTTTTTTATTATGTTAAAATAAAAACGTATTTGTTTATTCCGTACGTATTTGTAAAATAAAATAAATAATGATAGCAGGTCAACATACAGGATGCTTTTTACTATGGAAAAATATCTCATTTCTGAAAAATCTAAGCTAAACCTTACGCTATGACTATAAATATTTTAAAACTGAAATATAATTATATTTAGTTAGCCTTTTAAGATATATTAACATATTTTTAATTTCTCAAGAAGAAATATCAGATTTTGAACACTGAATTTAGAAATCGTGCGTTGGGACGCGAAAGAGTAGTACTTTACAGTGTTTTTAATTAATGTAGGCATCATAATCTATTCAAATTAATGAAATCAAAAATGAAAGTATGCAAGCAAAATTAATTCAGAAAAACACGAACATATAACCTACATCTTTATGCCATAATGAATTTTGCATAATTATTATATCCAATTTATACGCATAGATATAATATTATTATTATTATTCTGAACACATTTTTAACAATGTTATCTAAGTAATGAATTGAATAAAGATCTTATTAGTATTTAAAGATAAAAAAAACTGGCGAAAATACGTTTACTTTTATATTTGCTTCCCAATACAAACTTTCATCCCCATTTTCACCCCCTTAAGAGGCGATTTACGGGATAAAAGTATCCTATGTTCTTTCCAGGGTCGCAATCTATCTTTTTACAAAATTTCATCTAAATCGGCTCAATAGATCCAGAAATTACCCCCTACAACGCCACAAACTCACAAACTTTACCTCTTTGTAATATTAGTATAGATACGTATATTTGCATACATAACAAAAACAACAAATAATATTATATAACCGTAAAAATTAACGCCAATAAAGTGTACGTAATATCCATATAAACTTTCTCGAAATCTCCGCCTTATAAATAAAGACAATTATTTTTAAATTAAAAAGAAATGTTACTTAAAAACAAGCTCAAACACGGCAGAGTAATTAACATTGTGTATTTGAGGAATACTTGTTAATCCTGGTAACACCATCAGTCATTCAGGCTTTACCATTAGGTATATTGGCAATGCCATCGTTAATCGTACCTTCATAAGTATACGAATAGCGAAGAATAACAGCTTAATTAGTTGGGGAACATTTTTATCGTTTACTTACAGGGTTTTTTTTAACGTTGGGAAATGCATTTACGCATACCACCTGTATAGAAACAGGTGGTTATGTGGGACTCTTCGGTTAGAAAAGCTAGTAGGTACTCAAATCAAATCAAAATATTTTATTCAGCATTAAATTATTACAATTTTTTACTGAACGTCATGAGTCTACACTACCAGTTCGGAAAGAAGACGCCTCAGACCTGAGAAGAACTGGCGAAAGAAACTCAGCGGGACCAATGTCTTTTTTTAAAGTAAAATTAATATTTACAATATTTCTTATCAAGTACTACCCACTAAAACCTTCCCCGTCTTAATGGGGCGTCGCAGGATCACTTACGCACACAGACCACACAACTAAGGGATTGCTCCAACGGGCTACTCTGCTATCAGAGAAGTACCAGGAGCACCCCGCATGGTACACCGCCCACCGAGGTGGGCCGCTTCCCAGTGCGTTTCTTGGCTTCGCGCCCGGCTGGATTGCCGGACACTAACGAGTCCCCCAACCACGACAAGGTGAACGCACGTTGGGAGGGACTTACAAGAACATACACCAACTAATTAGGGTAAAATGAAAATGTTTATAACTATTATACTTTCTTAGATTTACGCGAATATTTGACATTTTAAATAAAACTATCTTTTCGGATTATTTCGTTGATTTATTTTGTTTTTTTTTTGCTTAAGAACCAACAATCAAAATAAATCCGAAAATATAGTTTTATTTAAAAATAAGT